GGGGGGGGGGGGGATAGTATACAAAGTAGCTTGTCACATCGGATTCTGCAAAGGGTCTCCTTGCTTTGTTCGCACTTCGTATGTGGGGTGGAGTAGAACTACCAAATGTCGTCAAAAGATGCCCCAGAAGACGAATTGGTCGCTTCAACTTATCCATCTTCAGTTGGAAGCTGTTTGTGTACTGAAATGATCCTTCAAATATAAATATGCAAGAGACTTCCGCTCGTCAGGCATAGCCGTTACATTCATCAGAGCAAAGTGATCTCCCCGAGTTTCAACAATTCTACGATCGAGGAAACCTCCGCGGTGATACAATCACGACTTTTCGTCATGTACATATCGTGCTTTCCGGACAAAAATTACTGACAATGCCGTGGCCAGTGGTCAATAACATTGCTTGGGCAGTCATTAATTTGACATGTCACACAATAATAGGCCACCGGGTTCGCCTTGTCTTTGAAATGAAGGTTCTATTGTTGCGAAAGCATACAAGGATTTTGATTTCCAGCACGTTTTTTATTCGCGATAGCTGTCAGAATCACGTTTCTGCAAGCGGAGTTACACTTTGTTCCCTTTCTTCCTATTCACCTTGCTGCCGATATTCGTAAGCCGCAACGCAAACGACTTCGTGAGCAACGGCTTTGAGGGATAGAAACGTCTTCGAGGGGGAAAGCAAACACGAAGATCTTATAATATCAGAAACGATATCTCATCTTTTGAATCCGAGCATCAAAAGCCCCACCAAATGCGAGGATGTTGCGAGATCGTGGCCAAGACTTTGGTTGTTTCATGTTTTTCCACTCTTCGTGCCCTACACTAATTCGGTAGCTGCTGTAGTGCTGAGCTATGTAATCAATTGCTGCGCAACTCTCTTCTCTATTGGTTGCTTGTGGTCCTTACTTGTCAACTAGTCAAATCTGGTTCTGAAAGCTTCGAACAAGACAAACAAAAGCATTCTGGGTGCTCCGACCCCCTGGTCCGCATGAGGCTTCGAGCACCTTTGTGGCGGCCGGTAAGAAAAACATTTGTTTGGATGAGGATGGTTTAGGCTAGATAAGAAACAGCTTAGCTTGTATGCCGAATGCACTCTTTGGGCGAGGTCTATGCGGCAGATACCGTGCTCGAAATCGATCTTCAAGGTCCTCCCAGCTCAGAAAGAAGTGTTGACGTGATTGAAAGCAGAATTGAGGGGCAGATATAATCAAAGAATAATAACTCAGCATCATAAGCTCGACCAGATATCCAAGACGAAAAAGATAAAGATAAAGGGTAAAGTTTCAACTGATCAACGCAGTTATCTAGTCTAGACCGAGGGACCCCTATCTAGGACGAAGTGCGGGCAATTGGCCTTTCGGGAGCGTCCCATGTCAAAGCGCGGACAGCCACATCAAGGAAATGAAGAGCAGCTATCACACAAGTGACAAGGCTCGACCACCGACAGCACCGATGTGATGAAAGCAGCAGGTCATGCTCGAGTCTGCGTGTATGAAGACCGAGAAATCCGTTTGTAAGGTACTCGTACACTTGCAGCAATACCTTTATGTACGTGCCGGGAACAAGCAGTGGGAAGTCCGTTGGGGCAAAAACGAGAGTACGGACAATTGTTTGGTTCTCGCTTCGTCGACCGGGCCACTCCTTTCTTGACCGGAACCCACTCTATAGACTTCCTAAGCCAGCCACGCCGTAAAATCCGTCTTCAAAGCACAAAGAGGGGTTGCCCTTGGATATCGCAACTTTGCCATATCTGAATATCCAGTTCTGCGTTGTTGATTGTGGATATGGCAATCAAGATCTTGATGGTGCAAAGAATAGCGTCTCGAGGAAAAGGAGACCTCGCTTGGCTTCAACAACCCACCACCTGTTGGAATAGACTCAATCTGTCAGGAAAGGAGAAACATCCACTACTCTCCCACCCACCCCAGCAGCTCTCGAGCTACCCTAGACTCGCTACTTCGTAATCAGGTCCCCTGTGAGACAACGTCCTTCCCCCAGCTCATCGAGCCTTCTGTGATTGGCAGTTCCTGTTTGCCCCTGGATAGGCCTGCTTCATCCCCGGTCGGATTTCTCCCAAATTGAGTTCAGGCCCTTTCTCGCGCCTGGGAAACTTGTATGATATCCTTCACCCGTCGTCGCTGCTCTCTTTCTTCTCTTGTTCTTGAACCTTCTTCTTTGCTTTCGTCATTGCGCTGCAATTGTGTCTCCTCTCGTCAACTACAGGCTATCTCGAACGAGCGAGCAGCAGGAAGACGGACATTGCACCACTATATTGAATGTCAATTGATATTTGCAGCTTGCTGGTCGACAAGCCTTGGAACTAACAAAGTTTCTGAAACTCTAGCGATTGATCGACGACCACATTCATTAAACTTTGCTATCCAACTTTCTCTTCTCGAATACTTGCTCGGACGATTCTGAATATTCACCACAAACGCAGTTGGCGCCGATTTTGGAGGCTCCATCGCGCTATCAATATTCAGATCGACAGGATAGATAGCAGCAGAGTTCGAATTCTACTTCTTTACACAAACAATCGATCTTCGCGAAGTCTGTTCAAATACCGCGGCCATGGGTCCATCATTGAACAACCACTCGTCGTTTGTTCGACCACGCACATCCGAACGCGAAGGTCGTCCGATGACCAGAGATCAAACGGATCAGAACCTCATCATTCCTAGCAGGACCTCCTCCTTACATTCGCGCATCACACAGCCTATTCCTTCGACTTTGAACGTCAAGCCGCAACAGCGAACGCCTAAAACGCTTACACATGCGTACATGGTATGTGGTGTTGGTCGAGAACCGTCGCAATGGGTCAAGGCTCCAGCACCATCACAGGGAAAGATCGGACACATGAAGGGTGCTGTTGGACAATTTTGGTTGCCGGAGATTCTTGGTAGCAGTCCAAGACTGGAGCAGGATAACGAGATTGCGAGAGCTTTACACGCTGCAATGAGAGTGAGTTTTGACATCACGACTGTTGGTTACGCGATCTAACATATGGCAGGCATGCTTTCCTCATGATGTAGAGATTTGCACTGGGCGCACTCAACCGCACTGTGTGCACCATTCTTTCGTTCTTCAACAGGATTCCAGCCATACTCTTTATGGTATTGCTCTGAGGGTCTGGTCGAGAGCAGATGACAAGCGTGCCGAGACGATCCGTGATTTAAGACGACGAACCGAATCCGACTTTTATGATTCAGCGGACGAGACTTACTGGATCCCATACTGCTTATCCTTCTTGTCAAGATACCCGTTGTACAACCTTCTAGGGGATTATCTCCGGGGCATGTGGATTCACTGGAACAAAGCGACCAACCTCTTCCATGCAGAGGAAGTATCGCGCATCTTGAGCTTCCCAGCTCCAAGACTAAATGATCTTGTACGGATCGATATGAAGGATTACGCACTCTGCTATCAATTCCCTTCTTCTCCGACTGGCTTCCAGAACTTCGCCATGTGGCCATTGTTTTCTTGCTTGTCGATTCCCAACATAGTTGGTGTGATTGAAGCAGCTCTATCTCCAACCCGCCGTATCATCTTTGTCAGTCACTACCCAGCCATGTTGACGGTAGCCGCCGAGACTATACGGTATTGTGTACGAGTTTACGAGTGGAGTGGTCTTTATGTACCAGTTGTTCATGCTAGACATGCCAAGGAGCTCGTCCAAGAGCCCGGTCCGTATATTCTCGGTATCACTGCAGAGTGCCGTACACTGTTCACAGCACCAACTGATGCTTTGGTCGTGGATCTTGATCGTAACTTCGTGCTCACCTCAAGCCCACCTACTGCGCTCAGCGCCGGCCAGCGCACCAAGATGGTCAACCGTATTACACAAGCGCTTAATGGTGACGTGACACCATCCGGTGTTCCTCAGCATCTTCGATCGGCTTACGGAGGTGGAAAGCTCGTTCCCGCTGGTCAAATCATAGTGATGCGTGGTGAGGTTGAGTCTATTCAAGACCCTGAGTGGTGGAATCAAGATTCTGTCATGTCTGTCATGGATCACGTTTGCGAGAAGATGGTAAGTTCATTCACGAAAACTTGTTCCAACAGTATTTTCGCGGTTGAGTATAGCTAACAAATGCTACAGGGCCGAAATACTGGCATGAAAGCTGTCTTTGGTGGTGCCGTCAAGAAGCCCTTGATGACCAAGGTTTCAATGAGGCACTTGAATGAGATTGTCCGAGAACGAAACCAATACTCCAGAGATGCTCTTGAGGCTTGGCAAGATTTCATTAACCTCAAGGGTCGCATGGATACCGAGCTCGGAAAGGTCACCAAGCGAAACAACTTTTTGGTTGAGGAGCTCGAGAGCTGGAAGCAACAGGTGAGTAACCTTGAACATCGCACCATTGCCCAAAAACTAACCGATCTAAGTTCCTCAAATTCCAAGCATTCGCTGAGCAACTCACCAAGGAAACCTCCGATCTCAAGGTCAAGATTGAGAACCACAAACGTGAGAATAGACGTCTCACAGGTCTCATTGATCAGCAAAAAGACGATGCAGCTCGCCTCAACACGCGCCTGGCTGGTACCGAGAAGCAACGTGATGATGCTCTCGAGGCTTTGGTTCTCCAACAAGAAATTGCGGAGGAGTTGGAGAGAGAGCGTAAGAAGAACAAGAAAGAGATGTCCGCGCTTCAGCATACCAATGTTACTTTGCTTCGTCAACGTGACGAGGCTCAACGTGTCGTTCTCCACCTGCGCAGTTTGATTGGTGGTCAAGCTCACCACATGGAGCATTTGGTTTCTTCTTTGGGCAAGAACCCAGATTTGGCGGAATATATCGAGGGTGGTTATGACGATGAAGAAGGGGAGCTGGACGACATTGCTGAGGAGGGCAAGGAAGAAAGTGGAAGCATGCGTAGAGGATCCTCTCAGCCAAGATATCGCAATGGCGACGATATGACTCCGGAAATGGAAGCTAGACTTCGCAATGGGTTGAGGAACAGCAAGAGATACAGCCAAATGAGCATTGTTGATGTTGCCGACCGTCATCTTAGAGACAAGACCGATGCCATCGCCCACATCATCCGAAATATCAGCGATCAGTGTGCTGCTGCTGTTGAAGGCCTACAGCTTGCACATGATGCGGAAGTCGAGGCTGAAGAGCTCGCTCACAGAACCATGAGACAACATCACAGACACAGCAACCTATCCACTGTCACCGCAAGTGATGATGGACATTCAGCAATGGGCTCCGAGATGGGAGAGGATAGTTTTCTGCACCCCAGTGGCCGCACGTCGAGTATCCCTCCCACACCTGATCTCATCCACAACCGGTCCAGTACGTCCATGTCGATCGCCAGCTCAACGACCACGCCTGAGAGAAACAGCCAGCAGTACCACACTGGTGCTGACATTCCAACCAAGATCGTTGAGGATAGCGAGGAGGAAATCGAGGGAAGAAGCGAAGGTGAACCTGAGATGACAACAAAAGCAAACCTCCTCCATCGCCCAGCCGGTGCTCGGATTTCAGCGTTAGGTGGTCATTAAGGCGCTCCATGCTATGTCTGTTTGAAAATTTGTTTTGTACTGGAAACGGCGTTATATGGTGTAGGATGTCATTACTCAACCTGTCCAACGGACACGCTATATCAAATCTCTTTTTGTCTGTAAGTAGGATTATTACAATTTTTGGAGGATGAGTGGTCGTGGGTTGTGAGTTTGCGTTTGGTGTATTTACGAGGGAAGATGGCTTGACAAGCATTCAAGTTGGAGAGGATTGCAGACGGGGATGAAAAAGATTTTGATTCTATTGTGGCATTGTTTTTTTGAGCACGTTATTTTTGAGGTGGCTAGCTCCATTTTAATACCCTAAGTATATTGTTGTTGTTAGTTAGATTGATGGATCGTTTCATCACCAATTTTTTTTGAATTAAAGAAAATTATATATTATCAATGAGTGTTTTATGTCGGTGATATAATCAAAATTCATTTATCTATAACATTCTAGTTTTATAATCAATATTATGGGTTTGCATACTACGTTCAAAGCATATGAATACTGGTTTCCGATTTTCTTCTTCGAAAGCAATTCTACTTAATCATTTATAGCGCAGCTAATCACAAGCAATTTTGAGATTATTACATCCATGACGACCATGACCACGGAGTCACTGATTCAATTTGTGTGCCAATCCAGGCCGGGGGTGAAATGTTATGGCCGATATTCTTCTAGCTAGTTAGGGGGCCAATAGGACCAGAGCTCTTTCTCTCGGACTCCTTCAATAACTATCAGAATTCTTCAAACGTTCACTTCCAATTGACAAATCTTTTCTCTGCTATACTGTAACACCTGGAATTTGATTAACGCAACTCATGCATCCGTTGATGTTGTTGTCATTTCAACGATCAACATGTTCATCCCAACGATCTACATCAAACTTCTACATCATGTCAGTTCGCATGTGTCAGTGCAAGCGCATACAATCTTGCTATGATATTCGAGAATCGATTTAACAATCCAATCTGATACCTAACCATCATCTCATGCCAAACAGCTTATAGTGTTCTTACTTCTCGCTGTTCTGATAAACTTACAATGGTTTCTTCGTGCAAATATAAAGTTCTCGCTCATGTACAATCCACGCATCCCGCAACCACTCAACGTCAAATCACACGACAACAAATTCTTGGCAAAACCCTGCATCCCCATGAACCCAAGCTACTTTATACTCAAAAAGAAATGCTCTAATTTTTTAGAGGTCGAGACGTCCTAGAAAAAACCTTTGTTGCTCATCGCAGTTCGGGGGTGGAGGTTTGCTCCGTTCGGCGTCATGATGCTTTAGTGGTTGGGACCTGACATCCCGAGTCGTTCGTGCCGGAGGGTTGTCTCCTGAGGACGGTGAAGCAATGGGAAGAGGGAATTTGGGAAGTAAAGGCGTTGTGGAAGCATGTCGCCGAGATTGAGGTGAGACCTGGTTGGCTGTGTGGCTGGTGATGGGAGCTGTTGCGGCGATCTGAGGGGGCTTGCGGATGCGGGGTTTGTAGATGGGAGATGAGATGGGCTTTATTCGGAGGGTTTGCTCCTGGTTATTGGTGCGCTGTGTTTAGGGGTCATGGCATGCTTTTCGCGTGTTGTGTAACGGGTGTATAGAGATATCAACACAATACTTGCGAGTGTATGGTTTGGAGATGAAGACTATGACTCAGTAACTCGTGTTAGAATTTAATGTTTGATGATTTTAGAGATCCAAAAAGAGTTATTCAAAAAGGAGTCAAGTTCTTTTCAGGGTTATTCGCCAATTCGTGATAGAGTAGAATAGACGCCGCTAATGTCCACATAATTGTATTCAACATGACATATCATTCTAAATAAAGTACCAAGAGAAACTAATCAGTCAATTCAAGTAGGTCACTTGATCTAAAATACTCTTTGATCATGTATGCGTGTCACTCCCTTTTACCATTAATCGAGATGTCGTTCCTTGTACATTGGAAATCTAGAACGACCCACGGATCTTAAGCGAAACTTTGTTGTGTTGACTCGAGCCGCAGTCTTTCATTTCGTGGCATCATGCATCATGGTGACAAATTATTGAAACATCAAATAATTGTAGTATGAAGCAATCTATATATTTCTTGGACAAACAGCTGTTCTTGCTCAAGCAAATAGTAGAAATCCGCGAATGATTGTAATAAGTCAAAAGCATTCCGGGAGTACTAGTGACTCGCTTGGTAATTGGAAAGAGATGACAGTGCTATCAAATCAGCTAAGTGATGAGTAAGTATGTTGAATACACAGACATGTGATTTTCACATAGACAGCTCCAAGAATGATTGCAAGAACTCAAATTTTCTTATATTCTTGCAACTGTTGGAAATTCAAGTCCGGACTGTTTTCACAAGCAGCTGATGGGATAACCTTCTAGAGGACATCCACGCCATCATCGTTCAGCTCAGAGATACTTCGAATATACGTTCTTTCCTTGTTCGAGAGTGAGTGACGTTACGAAAAATCATGTACGAGGAAGAAATCGAAGAATTGGAGAAGACTTTCTGCATTGTCTGTCTTTTCACAAATATAAAGGTCAAGCGTTCTTAGAATGTAAGACAAGCCAAGTATATAGCCTTATGTCTATCTATATAAGGTAGAGATAGATAGTATTCATCATTCACCTGTAAAATATCAAGCATTCAAGTGACATTACACGTTTGTCTTTGTTTGGGACAGCGCTTTCTAATTTCGAGACAGGTAAGTGGCAAGGAATAAGCACGTTTTGAGATTCAAATTGACCTACCGCGCGGTGGAAAAATAAATGAGAGTGGAGACATGACATGTTTTTATTTATGTTGGAAAAATATCCTGCATATCATCTCTTGATTTCAAGATACAAGGCCTATCCCAAATTCTTTGGAATCTGTTTAGACAAGACCATCTTTTCATGACTAAGTGCAAACTAAGTCAAATAGGAGGTCGAAAGGTTCTGCAACTTGCCTTGTCCGCTGCGAGTTTACGTATCTTTGTGCTTGTTCTCAACTATGTGATACTATATGGCATCTCCGAAAGGGTCTCAGTCAGGTTATCTGGGTCGGCTCTTATGTTAAACGAGCTTCCTAGAAGTGCCATTTACGAATTGTTGTAATTATTAAACCCCACAGGTGGTCAAAATTCTCCTGTCGATCTACGCTGTTGCACTCAAGCTATTAGACTAATCTAGATCCTGCGGAGACAGAATCTAGACTGTGGTAATATTACTTAAGCGAGTGCATACAGGTAGACATTTGACTTAACCCCCTCCTACAACCCTCTAACATTTTCAAACAAATCAGAAACGAAACGTCAGAGTGCAGTAGTCCAAGATAGCTCTAAGGAATACACAAAGGCTCAGAACTTAGCTGTACCGTGGAGGCGCTGAGATCGGATTAATATGCGGTATTAAACTTATATAGAAAGCTCAATCTCATGTCGACGAACAAGTAGATTTCGAGAGTAAGGCTTTTTAAGAGATCATTCGGGCTTAGAAGAGTTATTGGCTACAGAAACGAACGATTCTCTTTGAAATAGCTTATTGGTGACACAAAGTAATGGTAAGGTGACCTTTACTCGCTTTTCTCCACATGGTCTTCAATATTCTAATCAGTATTAGCTACAACAGAAGCTATTATGACATCAACAATCGTGTAATCGAGAAGTAAGATATCATTCTATACACAAAGCTACACTTTATTATAACAGACATGCTCACCACTTGTGAGTGTAAAGAACATAAGCAGCAGACAACATCCAGCCGACCCCCACATTCTCCCACATCATCAGTAATAGTATGTTGCACGTCGCACATCCAGTGACAGGTGAGATGTCATATATCACCTCCGGTTACTCCTTCCGGAATCCCCAATGCCCTTGCATAAGCAGCCCCAACTTTTCAATCCCTTCTCTTCGTAAGATTTCCAGCCAGACTAACCCCAACAATGTAATTACCATACATGATGACCGACGGACGAAATTTGTTGCAAATCGCGCAAAGTGATATATCAGATCCACTAGTTGACAATTGGGAAAAAGCTGGTTGGCGAGCCGTAATTGTGGAGATGGCCAACTTTGAAAACATGAGAAAATAATAGCTGACAGGTCGCTGCGTGCTGCGTGCCACGTGCAACATCTATTTTGTTTCTTTCAAGAGTGTACAGGGAAACAATTGTTCCACATCGTGAGCACGATCCACGACGCTGGGGCTTTCCCGGAGTGGTGAAGTCCACACGAAGAATTTGTTGCATGTCGCTTCCGGGACCCGAGATCCTGTGAGACAAAGTCCAGTTCGGAGGTAAGTGAGTTGAAATGGTCCAATTGAGTGGAGAAATTGGGGAAAGCAATAAATCTAAGCAATGACCTGACTGGCTGGCATATGGTTGAAGCGGATTGAGTGTAGAGAATAGTTCTCCAACATTGTATAGAAATCGAAAAGAAAGTGCAATTGGTAGAATTTGGACGGGGGCGGGGACACTCCCGAGTGCACGGATTCTAGGGCTCCAAGGAAAGCATCATCATGTATAAGAAAACAAGTTCGAGACCCAGCTACTGCCCGGGAAAGTCGATCGAAGTACCATACGTAAGCTTTAGGAACTCTAAACTTTCCCGAAATTTACATCTCTCGCATTCCAGCTCCCTATTTTCCCTTTCTAGTGATTCAATTCTCTCTTTAGCCAGAATCAAAACCTCGGCTTTACTGATTCTCCTCGTTTCCGAAGAATCATCAATGGATCGACTGTTCATTGCACTAGCAGGAAGTGCAGAGAGCAGAGTATCAAACTGCTCATTGAGACGATTGCGATATTTTCTTTCTGTTAAATTGTGGATTGTTCGGTCTGCTGGGTCAAAGCCATATGAAGGAATTTCCCCCTCGCATGATGTCGAAGGTCTTGGTGGCTGGTACACCGAGGACTTCCTACTCTTGACAAGCTTAGCACACTTGCCTTTCGGAGGCTTAGAAAGAGAAGCCTTTGAGTTGGTGGATTTTGTTGGGAGATTAGATTCGATATTGGCCAGCTTTGAAGATTGTTCTGCTTTTAATGTTCTTCTTTGGATTGATCCTCTGGCAATACTGTTTGTCATATTTGCTTGATTGTGAGACGGGTCTGCGTCCATGAGGTTTGAATCGTCAACTTCCAGATCTTGCAAGAAGGGTGTGCTAGGATCAACCATAGGCCAAGTAGCACTTGGAATATGAGTGTCCTCCATGCCTGTAGATGTGACTACCGAGTAAGGCTGGTTGCTCATATCAAAACCACAATCCTGAGGGAACATGGACGGGCTGTAAAAGTCCAGCGATGAAGGTGTAATTGGTGATAAGGTGTTTCCAGAACCTGAGCTAGTACTAATTTCCGGACTTTTTATCACCCATATAAAATCTTTGAAAAGCTGGTTCGGCCGGGCACCATGACCAGTTTCATATGATTGATTATTACCACTCATTCTTGTTGGATGCCCCTATTATAATTCAGTGATGATCTTTGGGGTTTGTTGGAGTCTCGACAGAATGTCTTAAGAGCGCATTCGGGTTAGCTACTCACCTCGCTAGAAAAGTCCGAACTAAACATTCTCAATATCCCCCAGATGTGATAAGACGACAATGAGAGTTCAAGCAAGATGTGTGAGTTGTTGCTTTATGAGACTGATTCTACAGAGCTGAAGATCCTGAATGTTGCAAGCAAAGAGTGCGTATCGGATTCTGCTGATTCGAGCCAAAGTATACACAGAATTCCAGCCTTTGGCCGGAGAAGTAATCTGAAGAGACATTCTAAGTCTCTACTGTGAGACTCCCTACCAGTTGAGTGACCTGAAGCGGGTTACTGGTTTATAATCCTGCTTAATCTGGTAATGGTACTCTTTAGGAATGACGGTTAGTTGGCAAAATGTGGCGACAAGGTTTACTATGCGGGCCTGCTGAATAACTTCCTCCCCCGGATACATACATGATGATTTACTCACCTTGTAGGAAATAATAACAGGAAATTACGGAAGCCACCGAGAATGAGAGTTTTGGCACCCAAAGACCAGTCAGATGCGATAAAATAACCGGAATCTGGGTCATCTAAGCAGATTCTTGAACGGTCCCGCCGGAAAGGGGATGATATATGCATGCTACCTTGAACCACGAACTGAAAAACATCCACATATGTAATAGTGGTCTCATTCAAAGGCGTGCTTTTATTTTCCTGGAACATTTTTCTGATATATCGTTTCTGGCTTTGTAGTTCCCACGTGGTACGCTCGAAGCGGCGAAAGATATCAGGCCGAGCTGATAATCAGTCGGATGAAATTTCGGATATCATTTGAGGATGTAAGTTCCGATATTTGCCAGCCTCAGCTCTCTCGCACTATTCGTCAACGTGGAAGGAGGTGGTCGTACGTATAAAGGTGTGTGAGGATGAGGTGAAGTAAAAAGCTTGGCAATGTGAAATAGACAAGCGGAGACTAGCCTCTCCACACGTGACTGACTCTGGGTGGACCGAAATCACGAAGCAGGTACAAGTCTCTCGTGACTCAAAATGCAAAAAACACAAAGTTTAGGTGCTTGACATTCTAGATGTAAGAATGAATATAAACAATCCTCAGAGCGTGGCCTTGCCAGATCAACGCCAACAACGGACGTACCAATCCGATTTTTCAAAATCACCCCATACAAGAGCGAAACCCAAGCCTCCAGTAGAAGAAGCCATAACCTCCTGGTTTTCTAATTTACCTCCAGACCTAGTCGAACAAACAACATCAATCATCACCCATCTTCTATCCACTGCCCCAAAACGATGGATTGTTTATCCACCAATGCTACTTCTGCCCTCCGGCAGTTTTGAAGATGAGCAGTGGAGACGCTTACAGCTAGGTGGTCAGGAGCTCGATTCTTTATGGGAGAAGATATTGGAGTTGGTTGGCAAAAGAGAGGGAAAGGGGAAATTGACTCATCTTGCCATCAACAATGGCATACCTCTCCTCAAAGTAGGTGAGGATAAAGGAGAGAACCTTCTTCGAAACCCTACGGGACTGAGGATTCTGTATGGCGATTTCGGTCCATCATTAGATCATGAGGCAGTACCAAGTCGTGAAGATTTGGAAAAGGCATTCTGGGTCAGCACAAAACAGAATGGTATCATCCAAATCTGGGCTCCGCGGTATACCATGTTCAGCAGGGGAAATATCAAGGAGAAAGCGAGAATTCTTAACTTTCACAAGACCGAACAACAGCGACGAAGCAGAGATGCATCAGAGCTTATGGAAGATACCGCCGTTGACCTGTATGCCGGCATCGGCTACTTTGTTTTCAGTTATGTGAAAATGGGAATAGGTAGAGTGATCGGCTTCGAACTGAACCCTTGGAGCGTGGAGGGTTTGAAAAGGGGAGCCCTCGCGAACGGCTTTAGTATACAGATAGTGAAGTCTGGGCAGTCATGGGTACCTGGCGAGGAGACTATCACTATTTTCGAAGAAGATAATGCTGAGGCGCCTAGGAGGCTATCGGAGCAAAGTCCGTCATTCTTAGCGAGTATCAGGCATATCAACTGCGGACTGCTGCCTTCCAGTCAAGGAAGCTGGGAGATAGCTCTTGGGTTGCTGACCACAACTGGGTGGTTGCATCTCCACGAGAATGTGGGTGTAAATGATATTGAGTTACGGAGGGGTACCATCCGCAATGAGTTGACAAGAATCTTGAGCGCCAAAGACGTTGAGGTGGATGTGGAACACGTGGAGCTAGTCAAGACATTTGCTCCTGATGTATATCACTGCGTCTATGATGTTTACATTAACCGACAATAGATGTTACATATGTTCAAATCGTCCACATTCATATTATATCCCTGCGAAACTTGGCGGGTATATTGTCTTCTACGATCGACATCTTGTCCAGCAGGGCCTGCCTGTCGGCCTCATCTTCTAAGTCATCGTGCAACTTGAAATGAGCAATGTCTTCTGGATGTGTCAGGTCTTCTTCTTTGGTGTTTTCGTCGTGATATCTATGGCGGTCAGTATGAGGGCCTGTCTGCATTACCAAACAAAGCAGAACTCACTTCTCCCAATGATGGATTTCGTACTCCATTTCCATATCCCAGTGGTGACCAGGACCGGTCCCGAAATCCGGCAGCACCCCTTTTGGCTGTCCATAGCCACCGGCGCTAAACACCATCCATTCGTCCCGCTCAATAATATTGTTATCATTTCGGTCAATCAATTTGAGGACTTCGCGGGTGATTTCATCTCTCTTCGACTGAGGTACATCTTTCGCAGTTGGGTCATCCATGCCGTAAAACTTCAGTATCTCACGCTGGTCCCAGAATCCATTGTCATCAAAATCGTGAAGGGTGAAGAAGGCGCCTGGATCGAAGTTTCCAATATGATGTTCCTCTAATGACATGTCAGTGAATGGCTCACAGCCTTTGGAAGACTGGGAAACGTACCAGCCATATGTCTAGTTGCCCAATCCGCATCAGGGTCAACTTGTAATGGCTTCTGATGAGCATTCCCACCACCATGCGCAGATACGAAGCCGACGAGCGCAAACGCGGTCGCGCATGTCCTAAGAACCGTTCTTCCAACCATTTTCGAACTTGTAATAACAGTGTTGGCAGTGCCCGTATAAACTCGCTCACGGTCAATCCTCGTTCGAGCAGATATGTGGCTCTTTGTTGGCTTTTATTTCGTGGTCTCGTAACGGCGTCGTGGCTTATTTCTTTGCGTACTGTATGAGGTCAGGGTCAATCCAGCCGCGGCAACACAATCCCATCCCATCCGGGTTGATTCAGGGGTTCAAATAAGCTTATCGCAGGGGTCACCTACGCTGCCACAGCGTGCCCACTCCAGCCTGGCCCAAGCTCAATTGAGCTCTTGTTCCTGAGCAAACATGCAAACATCGACAACGAATAGCATTACTGCGCGGGTAGCTGCTGTCTCTGTTCTCTTGCTTTACATCCACAATGAGTCGTCCAATTGAACAAGATCTGAATAACCTCATTCCTCGCCATCCTGGCGCGCTGCCGCCAGAGCTCATCGAACTTGCGCGCTCTTTGCTAGCCCAGTCCCGCATAAAAGCAAGCACACTCAGTGCCCAAGAAGAGACTGGGAGGACATATGCTTGCGCAAATATTGCCTGTGAGAGGTTGTTTTGCTTTGGTCCGCAGCGATAAAACTACAAGCGTTAACATAACCATAGACTAAAGACAACTCTCGACCTCCCACCAGTGGAACCACGCCCGCCAATTCCACCTCGAGTATATACTAAACTATACAAATACTTCGATCGTACGCTCGTCCCCAATTCAAGACGCAAGTCTAGAAATGACAATGATGAAAGAGATTTGAACAAAACTCCATCCGGTTCAAGATTCAGAGACGCTTCTGCCAATTCAACTCCGCGATCCCTTCCGCAAAGGCATACTCCATCGAAAGCGAGTTCTCATGATACGCCGAGAAAGAACAGAACTTCTAAACCCGGGCTCAAATATGCTAGCAATGCGGATTTGGATTCTAGCATACCACGATGGCTTGCGCCGGTCATTCGAAAAATGTGCACAGCGATGGGGACTAAGGAAGTCATTCCGCATGTTATGGCGGGCGTAGAATCAATGCTTCGTCTCCCGAAAGTAGTCTCTTTAGAGCCCGATGAATCTGTATTACAACCCGGCCACAAAACACCTGCTCTGATAGCTGCGACGTGGTTTTTTGTGCTGCAGAAATTCCGTGACAAAAGCATCACTGGTGCTGAATTCCGAGATCAGAGAACAAAGATCTTGGACATATTCAAACATATAAAAGAGGATGCCGGTATTGCGGCAAAGATTGGCGGTGACGATGATAAGTTCTGGGAAGGCTGGGAGGATATTCGGCCGTTAGACATTCAGTCCTGGATTGAAGTTGCTACTAAGCGCGATTATCTGGAAATGGACTGGCTCACAAATATTGCAAACGAAGATGAGGATGAAAATGGAGAAGGACTTAACGGTTATTCGAACATTGGGGTATCCAATAATACGTCAGGTCTAGCTGAAAGGATGCACATAGGAAGAAGGATGCAAGACGAATATGATTACCTGAGCCCTGAGAATAGAGCCGAATATCAGAGGTGGAAGGATAGTATCCTGGCTCAGATAGGTGATCCTGTTGACGATGGGGTAATAGATATGGACACTACAGAGGGTTAAGTTGTGTCTGCCTTTCACGAATTCTGCGTTTGGCTTATTTACGTCACAAGAAATTCTCTTAGTAAAGGATTGAATCAATTACTCACGCGTCACAAATGTACAGAGTTCTTCCAAGGCATACGGTCGAATTTTGGTCGTTTTCAGGCTGGGTGTTAAGGCGTCTAGACACTCCGAAATGATAGCGTGAGGTCCTGTGAATCACCTCTCCGCCGCTCTAAAATTATACGTGAATGATCTCTTCACAACACAAATACATACGAGATAGAGCTATCTATTCATCGACTCTCAATCTCCCGACGAAGTACCAAAGCATATATCATGAACCTCAAAACAAATCACCCTTACCATCCAGCAAATACGTTTCCATCACCTCCCCACCATGAACCATCTCCCATCAACCACATCCACCACCTCCACCTCCCTCAAATCCACCTACACAACCTCATCGCAGCCACCAAAACCGCAACTCGCAATCTCAGAACCAAGTTCTTCGTGAATGGCGGGTGGAGACCATATGGCCCGAAATGTCGGTATCGTGGCAAGACGTATAGGGATCACTACCCGCGCTTTAGGGTTCGGGAACCGGTGTTGGGGCCCGAGGAGTTGTGGAGGGTTATGTTGGTTGAGGGGTGGGAGTGAGGATGGGGATGGGTGATTGAATGGTGGGGTGGGGAGATGGGGGTATAGATATTATGGTTGATTGAAAATGCGAGACAGGTTTACGGAGTCCATTGTGTTTGCTGCAAAGGAGGGGTTAGTAGTTGAAGGATAGGGCTGGATATGTAGATTATCGAATAGTTATGAGCGTGCGGTTCTTAGGGCTGATGAGGGTGTGAATATGGACGTGGAACTATAGATTGCGAGATTGAGAGAATAAGAACTTTCATAGTTATAGATGAAGGCGAAAGAGACCTAGGTTATTTTAGAAAGTATGGAAGTGGATTGACATGAGATTACGGGGTCTTTGCTGTCAAAATACACTTTGACTCAATCGCTGCTACTGATAAAGAAAATGATAGATTTAGTTTCAGATAGCAAACCTTTTTGCAGAAAACAGGGCTATTTTTCATAGTAGTTTGAACATCTGAAAGTTTTGAGTTCTGTGGTGCTCAACCGAGATCTCCATCACACATCTCCTTCCCCAACAATCGAAAACATAACCCTCCTAACATCCCCCAAAAACTCTCTTACCATATCACCATCAAATAAATCACTTTTCCATTCGGCCGAGAGCCTGGTACAGCCGCGGAACCTAGCTAGACGTATGATTCTTGGGAATAGTTAGCAGAGTAACCTGGCGATACATGTGTGAGAAGAGTTGCACTTACACTTCATCAGCCGCGTTGGCTGCAAAATGGATATCGTCAACTACGAGTGCGGGTGAGGAGGAGTCTTTTGGGTAGGTATGCGAGATGTATTGGTCTGTTAGACCGTCTGAGAGGAAGAGCTTTTGATGTTAGGAGATTTGAAGAGATGAAGGGATGGGGTGAGCGTACCGGTGCAGCTGTTTTTGGTATTGGTGCTTGAAGGTTGGGAGGATTGCTACTTCTCGTCAGTCTACTAGAGGATGTATTTTGGGAAAGCAACGCAGCTGCCTGCAGAATCTGAGTACCAACCTTCTTATGCTTCTTCCAATTTGATTAGCAATACTGACGAACTCGTTTAGAATACTTTCCTTTTCTCTTAGCTTCTTATATTCTGAATTAGCTTGGTCTACTGCTTTAAGCAATGCCGTTCCAGTCTCTTCTTTACTGGCTTCTTTATCAACAGTAAGACTTGTAAGATCTTCAAAGATGATAGGCGCAAACGACATGCAGACTGGAATAAACTCCTTGGTCATGTCCCTACCAGTGCAAGACTTGAGATAACGACGTCCATTAAGCCAGCATGCCGAGTAAAAATGTTGTTGTTGTGTTGGGTTGAGACGAAGCATGGCTACAAGCATTGCGGCATGAGTTAGACTGGTGATATTAGTTGGGTTGGTGGTTGGGAGACTTTTAACAGCTTTCAGAAGAACGGTAGTCTGTTCGCGCGATAATGTGAGGAAATAGATCTCTTGCGTTGAGTGGGTGCTAGGCAAGCATAGAGGAATGCCTGGATCGGGGGACTGAAGAAGTTAGACCTGCAAGAATATTGTCCACCGAAAATATACTTCGGAAACCGCAAGCATGTGACCACATACCCATAGACAGAGATATCAACAGAAGCTGGCTACCACATATGGGTGTCGTAAACGAAAATCACAAGGAGCAATACGAGCAGGAAGGAAATTGTTTTACCTGTGTGTGAAATAGGTACTCTTGATTCGCAGACACTCGTTCTTTGAATCCTCTTCCAGAGTATTCCTGTTTGTTGTTCATGATAGTGATCCATGGCGGGGAGAGGTTCTTCCAAGTCTCACCCCAGAGAAGCTTGGTATCTTCCACTGAGTTTGGTGCTGCTAGAGACTTTGAAAACTCTTCAAGGTATTTCCCTAGTAAAACTCTGGTTCCAATTCCATCAGTGATGAGATGATCGGTATTTAACATGCACCAGAACTTCTTGGAAACATCCAAAATTTGTCTATTCTCATACTGAGAGTAGATCAAAAGTGAAGCCGGACAAAAATTATCTCTGCTTCTGTATAGGAAAAGATCTCTTAACCTCTTAAAGTCAGGTGCTTCGGTAGAAGACTCGAGATATGTCGTTTGCTTAACCCATGTGTCAACTTTTTGAGACTCGGGACACTCGTATTGCAAGTATGCATTTTCATTCTCAAAAACACTACTCAACTGAAGTTCTGGAACCTCAAATCTCAGTTTTCTCCACGCCTTCTTCGCCGCATCAAAGATAGTATCAGCATTTGCCGGTTGCGTCGTGGTTAATTCGGCAAGTATGAAAATATGCCGCGCTTCCCTTGGTTTGGAAACCCACATCGATTCAGACGACAGAGACAGACGACGGTAAGAGCCTGATGCATGACGCTGCCAGGCATACGCAGTGGGATCAGGCGGACTAAAGATTGACATGATAGACGATGAAAGTAAATCTGTAGGGTGGAAGACTGATGTGTGCGCTTTGACAGCGGGGAGGGCCGTTGCGAGCGTAGAGTTTGACAGAACTCTGTTTTCAACTCTTGTTCAAGTACTAATCAGATACTAGCCGCGTCAGGTATCGGTATTGAACGGGCTCTGCTTCGGACATCCATTAAACCCAAATTCTATCAGCAGTTGGTGATTTCGCAGATACTCCGGACGACTTTTGTTTCCTTGGAATGATACAAAGAGACAAGGACAGAATTGCTCAAGCCAAAGCTCGACAAGTTTGGAAGGTAGAAAAGACTCATGATGCATCATCCACACCCTTACAATCGCAACGAAACATTCATCCACTTACATCAAAGCACCTCTCCATTTCCCTCGAAACAAAACTTGAAAAGAATGTTTCCTCCGTTCCTGTGCATCCGGGAACCACAGTAATGGTCCTTTACCAGGCTCGGAAGACAACGATCGACGGATCCTCGACGGACATTTAATCAGAAGTGGAAAGGCGTGCCAGAACTGTTCGTTATAGAGAACCGTGCGCACCTGTTCTTTTATATCTGCATGCACGCTCGGATGCGCTCTTGGGTCTTGTTTACTTGGAGATGGGGTGATTCAGCCGTTTGCCGACCCTGGGGAAAGACGGTTGGACTTGGCGAGCTGGTGGGAGCTGATGTGAACAACTATTGAATGCTGTAAGGCTATCGTATTTGTTGAATGTCTTGAGGCCAAAATTCGTTCGGCTGCGCATCGAAGGATTTGGACGAAGAATGGACGTGTTTGATGTCAACAAGAGGAGGAAGCGGCCTTGGTTTGGAGACGAAAATCCAAGCAGACGACATGCAACTGCGGGGTCAATATCTCCCTGGGTTGAAGCAAGTACCGACGTTAGGCTTCATCGTTCTCGAGTCAACCTCGAGCATGTAATCGAAAAAATGACAATTCTGGATTGGTAAAAGTAATACTCATGAATGCCGTCCCTGTCCTCCTTCTTTTTGCGATCCTTCGATGGTCAGATACGTGAAGGTTCTGATTTTAGGGTCAAAATACAACCTTCTCTTGTAAAAGCGAAGTCGGGGTACAATACCTGAGTACTTTAACTCCCACCAAAAGCTGTTAGATATAATTAGAACCAACATGCCGGAATAAGATCAGGTCGCGAGTATGGAAGTCGGTTAGGATGAGGCCGCAACAATTGAAAACTTGAGACATTCGTCTAATATACGTGTCTTACCTCGGAGGTTACGATCGTAGACGTACAGTGCGTATGCACGATAAATTTGTCTGGTCTGACGCTGACATTGATACAAATGCAATACTACGAGCAAGTACGACGTTGGAACACGTGGTAGTTTGCGATGCCCATGATCGATGTTACTCTCATTTTTTGATATCCATCTACCTCATGTACGCCAGTACATCAGATGGATTCTTGTTCAGCTACTGTGTAACTCAGGCAGCGGTACATATTCCTTCGTATGCCATGAGAACCGGAACAGAACAGAAAAATGAATCAATAGGAGGCTAACTCCTGAAATATTAGTGGTTGGCCTTAGCACCGTAGTCGTTCGATTGGTCTCGTATGGTAAACTTTCTGACGTTGTGGAATTGTCTCAAAGAGGAAACCAGACGATTTTACGATGGATTCCACGGCCAATAGTAAACACCCGAGGCGCTTTATTACCGGTTGCTCTGCTCTTTTAATTTTAAAAATGGCCTAAAGCGTCCTTGAATCGGTCGAAAAGTATCTCGTATCGCTTTCCCTTTAGTTCCAGACTCCGTCTCGTGGTAAATTGAAATGTCGTTAGCCACGCGCCGGCGTGTAGCAGTTGTACGATAAGGTGCATTGCTGGAGCCACTAGAACTTCGCACCGACTGCCAATTGAGGTGGCTGAGTAGTCTATTCTGTTAAAAGTAAGCTTCGTTCAGATGGAATAGATAGGTCTCCATAATGGGGCTGAGGATGAACTATTATTCGGTGTGGAAGTATTTCGACAAGAGGCCTTCGGTACAACAGATTTGGAGAGTGTATTCTAGCTTTCTGCGACAATGAATCTTGTAAGAAGTAAACGTCTCGCTTGATGATATGATAAAAAAGGATGGTATGTTCGGTTTGAATTCGAAGTACTTATTCGTAGAGGTCCTGGGGAGAATACTGTAGTGTTTCGAAATGAAATCCCATGAACGAGAAATATGATGTTGGGTTGGGCATCACTCAAGACTTGGGAGGATCAGCAACTTGTAGGGGTACTGATATCTCGGTTCCAGAGACAGAAACGGGAGCCAAAAGTAAATCAAAAGTCAGCCGGTTAGCATGACGGTGACACTCTGTAATCGTTTGGCCAAGACAGAGATGTGAAATGATCGGTAGATTATTATCTGGCGAGATATCGCCCCTTGCATGCAGCATCGCCGCCAACTCCCCTGAGCTAAAGGTCAACACCACAGAGGAGGGGCATACAGACGTAAAAACAGATGTCGAAGTAGTCTTACAGCAGTAAGAGGGAAGCTATTGCATGCAGTACTTATGTCTCGTGTGATGAAGGCGCCGTAGTAGGACGATACACTTACTCGTATTGACATCAATATAGGGAGGAGAGAGTGTTGATCGTGATTCCACAAGCGAGGAGGACAAAAGGGGCTCGAGGGGAGCCCTCTGGATGCGACAACGGTCTTCTGTTATCGTTGCTTTTTGCCTCTCCAATGCACCTCCGTCTCTTGTCTCTTGTGCTTGTATCTTGATTCTTGACTCTTGACTCTGTTGCGATTTGTCCCTGAGTCCGGTCTCCCACGCCGAGAAGTTGAGAACAGTGAGAGAAGCGGACGACTGGATAAGCTCCGGCGGGCGTGCAGCCCTTCCAGCTCCCGGCCCCCTGAGCGGAGCCCTGCCGCCCCACTGCCGTACCATCCAAATGCCTGATTGGATGCGTCGCTGTCCCCCTTTCCTTGCCCGTCTGGACCTGCCTGTGTGCCTGTGTGCCTGTGTGTGGGCCGGTGGTTGCATTCGACTTTCTCCCCTTTCTAAAGTTTCGCCAACTTCTTTCCTCTCTCGTCTACGTCGACGCAGCCACTGCTCTTAGTACGACCTCTACCACCGAGACCAGCGCGCAATCGTACTTCGTACATTGCACATTGCACCAAAGCAGTGTCGCGTTGCCGTCATCAGCATTCAATAGTTCGCGCACCCGCCAGTTCACTTTCCTCCGAGAAGCATACGCGCATCAACAAGCAATTAGAAAGTCAGCGAATCACCTCTCGTCACCAAGCGACGCGTAAAACACCACCTGGGCGGTTTTCTAGATTTATTCCAGGGACCAGCACGCTTAAGAACTCTACAACTCAAATATACCCTCATCCTGGTGAATCTGCAACAGATGAGAGCAACGTGGTGACCGGCTTTTTCTCACTCTGGTCCAGCCTGTGCTAGGTCTCATCCGCAACACAACCGAATTTGCACCCGATTAACCTCACAGGATACAACACTATTTTGTCGCAACAACGGACACGATAGAGCGATGGCCAGCTCTCCGCCCGAATCGCCTGCGGGCATTCCGTCAAGGCCGGCGAGCGCCATGATGCGACCTCCGCGAACGACCAGTCGTATGAGTATGACCAGCAAAGCTGGAGGAGGAAGCCGAGCTTCAGACGAGGATGGGAAAACGTCCGTCAAAGTTGGTATGCAGTTTCCGACCTACAATGCCAGAAATCAAAATCTGACTTTAATCTTCCAGTTGTGCGTATACGACCGCCGCTCAAGCCTTCAGATCCTGGGTTCGAGCTCATCCCACAGAGATTCCAGCGATCTATGGTCCAGGTTACATCGCCTACGGGCTTAGCTATAGACTCACCGCAAGGACGGAAACATTTCGTGTTCGATCGGGTGTTTGGTGAGGAGACAGATCAAGAAGGCATCTGGGAATATTTGGTGGAGAGCACGAATGCGTTTGTACAAGGTTACAATGTCTCAATGTTGGCGTACGGTCAATCCGGCTCGGGAAAGTCCTACACAATGGGAACGGCTGGGCCCGGCGAGCAGGCAAATATGGACGTTATGGGTAAGTGCAAGCGGAAGGAGGTAGAGCAGCTTGAAGCTCTTCACTTCGGAGTCCAGTCCGGCAGTGGTTCTGTATACTGACTGAATTAATTCCTAGGCGTCATTCCTCGTGCCGCCAGTGTACTATTCGAAAAATTGGAGGGAGGACGAGCTTCAAGTAATCGGAACTCTGGAATCCGAACCCCAATGCGGTATTCGATGAACGCCGCCTCAATGTCTAAGCAATCTGAGAAGAACTGGACTCTCAAAGCTACATATGTAGAAATTTATAATGAACAGTTACGAGATCTGCTTCTTCCAGAAAATACGCCTCTAGGGGAGAGGGGTCAAGTTGCTATTCGACAACATGCCAACGGCCATATACTCTTGACTGGGTTGCACGAGGTGGAAGTCAATTCGGTGGAGGATCTCATGAATGCCCTGAGCATTGGATCTTCAATTCGTCAGACCGACGCAACAGCCATCAATGCGAAATCCTCGCGTTCCCATGCTGTGTTCAGCTTAAATCTCGTCCAGCGAAAAAGCAAGTTACAAACGTTACAAGGCGCGGAGAAAAGATTCTCTGTACCTCTGGAGGCCATGACTGGCGCAGACACAATGGTCACAATCGATAGCAAGCTTCACTTTGTTGATCTGGCAGGGAGCGAGAGGCTGAAAAACACTGGTGCACAAGGAGATAGGGCAAAAGAGGGGATTTCAATTAACGCCGGATTAGCTAGTCTCGGGAAGGTTATCTCTCAACTTTCATCCCGCCAGGCTGGATCTCACGTCTCATATCGCGATTCGAAGCTCACTCGATTGCTCCAGGACTCTTTGGGAGGAAATGCTATTACGTACATGATCGCGTGTGTTACGCCAGCAGAATTCCACCTGAGTGAGACCTTGAACACGGTGCAGTACGCACAACGTGCTAGGGCAATCCAAAGCAGACCACGAATCCAGCAGGTGTCGGACAATGACGGTGACAAACAGGCCCTCATCGATCGCCTTAAGGCAGAGGTTGATTTCTTGCGCGAGCAAATCCGAAGCACCGAGCGTTCAAGTGATCGCCGGCCCACTGCAGCCGAGCGGCCTGAGCGACAAAACGAACGGGAAATGGAGCTGCAAAATCAACTTCTCGATACGCAAGAAAACTATACAACGTTGAGTCAACGTCATGCGAAGCTAATCTCTGAGATGGCCAAGGCCCGTGACGGCGAAATTGCAGACAATCAGAACTTTGAGGACACTCTTGGTGATAGTGCAACTGAACGACTCAAACGATCCAATTCTTTTGCTGAAGCCGTTGAGCAAGTCGTCCTGGAGTACGAGAAAACGATTCAAACTTTGGAGCAGTCTCTTTCTAGCACACGATCGTCCCTCTCAAATACTGAGACAATTTTGCTTGAAAAGGAAACGAAGTGTGCTTATGTGGAGACAGTCAATTCTCAATTGCAAGCACGCCTCCAGAAATTAATTGACAGGGAAACAAGCACGGAGAATTACCTTCATGACTTGGAGGCCAAACTAGATGGTCACACTTCTGGCGAGGAAAAGAATTCTGCAATCATTATGGAACTTCGAAAGGAAATTGCTCGTGTCCGTGAGAATGAAGCCAGTTGTGAAGATTATATTTCCACCCTTGAGGAGCGACTCGCTGAGGCCGACCAAGATGCGGAATTGATGCAACGGGAAATTGATAGGCTAGAGCATGTCGTGGAGCGCCAGCGAAGCCTGGGCAAGTTGGACAATCTACTCTATGAACTCGATCATATCCAGCAAGATGGAAAAGTCGATGAAGTCGAAACAGCAACGACCAACGGAGCCGGTAGACGTTCTTCAATCGATCATTCCCGGCAACAGAGCTTCGCAAGCAGACGAAGCAATAAAGACATGATTCTTGAAGAAGAAGAGGCAGAGAATACTCAGCGTTCCGCCACGGAAGGTCCTGTTGATAACGGCGAACCCATTGACATTGAAGTCGATGTACGAGAATTGGCGGATAAGTCTTCCGAGATGAACTATCCTCCACAAAGCCCTGCTCAGTCTAAATTCGTCGAGGACAAGTTGGAAAACGTGACCCAGGAGCTTTTCGATCTCAAGGTAGAGCACGAGAGCACCGTGGACGATTTCAACTTACTCCAAGCAAAATACGCCGAGGCTCTGCACACCCTTGCCGAACTGCAGGACGCAGTGGACGAGGCTCGTCATCCAGTCACCAACCGTGACTCTGTCTTATCTTTATCATCACCAAATATGAAGATGAGGCCTGCATCTTTTTTAGCAGACGCGAGGGTGGAAGAGCTAAGGGATGGAGGACACTTTTCATCCTCGCGATCACTATCATCGGAATTGTCCTCGGTTGGGGAATTGCCCAGTACATTGGAGACATCTAAGACGGATACGTCCAAAATTGCTGAAATGAAAGCATCTGGAGAGGATTCCTCCAAAGACGCCGCAATTGCTGCCGAACTCGATACATTACGTGCACTTGCGGCCGATACCGAGGCAGCTCAGTCAAAGCTTGCTGAGAAATATGCGCAGTTGGAGGAAGAGCATCTAGTAGCCCTTGACCTTGTGGAGGAGCTGAAAACCGACCTTTCCAAAGCCAAGGCGAATGAAATCAGCTCCCCACGAGCGAGCACTCCAGTGATCCGTCGGAAATCAAGCCAGAATGTTATGATAATCGATAAAGCACATCGCGCGTTCGCTTCGCTTCGTAATATTGCCACAGAAAACTTTGATGCAAGCCCCGATATTATGGCCAATTTCGAGCTCAATCTCAATACTGCCATGCACGAGCTGCATTCTCGCTCAGAGCGTGTGCAAGAGTTGGAGGCTGACATCACTGCGGTGAGGAAGGAGATGGAGACCAAGATGACCATCATCTCCGGTCTTACTCGTGAGCGATCGAGCATGAAGTCTTCTCCTATGGATATGTCGGTTGTCTCGAGCATGCGTGATCAATTGCTCCAAATCCAAAATGAGATGCGTGTCGTCCAAGAAAAACATGCCTCACGAGAGAAAGAATTGCAAGCGGAGGTGGACAGTCTTCGCACAACTCTCGATCAACATAGCACAGATGCTGATAAGGGGAAAGTACTTGCTGCACAACAGCAGTCTAGTAAGGACATTCAGGACAAAAAGATTGTCAATCTAGAAGCCGAGCTTTCTGGCTGGGAAACAAGGCACCAGAGTGCTTTGGCATCGATGGGCGGGTCTGAGAAGCAGCTACTTACCACAATCACTCAGCTGGAACAGCAGCTCTCGGCCGTTAAAAATGACCATAAACAACATCAGCAGCAAATGGCAGGCGATCAAGAAGGTCTCGTGGTTAATATGCAAAACGAGATTGAGGAGCACAAGGCGTCTATTGCAGCCCACAGTGCCCGCGTAGCAGAACTCGAGCATGCTCATACGGAACTTCGGGCGCAGCTTCAAGAAGCAACTAGCTCGAGGGAAATTGCACTGCTGGAGAAGGAAAAGCATGCCTCTCTTCTGGCTCGACTAGAACAACAAATCAGTGAGCACGAGCAGGTTGTCAAGACGCATCAAGATGGACTTGCAGTCCTGCATGCAAACCACACCAAAGAGATCGATACACTGAGAGCAACTATCGAGGAGGATCACCAAAGTCGTTCTGCTGATCTTTCAGCCCAGCACCAACAAGCTTTATCAACAATGCAAACTGAGCTTGCTGAGGCTCGAGATGATCTGACAAAGATTGCCACTCAAATCGCTTTTGCACTTGGTCTTGATGTCAGCACGGGCAAGCTCGAAGAGAGAATTGCGGACTTGCTATCTGACCAAAAGGTGTTAGCTGATGAGCAACAAAGATGTGCTGAGTTGGAATCTCATGTGACTGCGCTCACCGGAGCTAACGATACCGTCGTGAAGGAGCTTCAGACCGTCAAAAGTGAACTTGCGGGCTTGCTCGCCCAATCTGAAGAGGGCACAAAACTTCGTGCCGATCATGCTTCTGTTTCTGATCAGCTTATGGCTTTGAAGAAAGAGATGACTATGTTGACACACAAGAACAGGAAGAACTCGCGCCTTGTTGAAGAGCTCGAGGAGCAACTAGCGTCCAACTTTGACCAACATCAAATGGCGAACAACCGCTTGTCAACGTTACAGACTGAGCGGAACGCTCAAATTGAGGAGGCAAATGCAAGCGCGGCTCGTGCCCAGTCAGAGCTCGAAGCGATCAAGGAGGAGTATGCCTCACTTCAGGTATGTGACTTTTCGTTTTGTTCTTCAATTGGAAGTTCCCTACTGACAGATTCTAGGCCAAAATGGTTGAAAGTTCTCAAGAATCTTACACCGGCCCCCAACGAACTAATTCTAATTCTGGCAATACTCATCTTCGTAAATCCGCATCTGTTGCATCACTACCATCACCCCCACCCGCAATTCCGCTGCCTCCTCTGCCTGGAAGCATCGCGGGCGCTGTTTCCCCCAGTGGAAATGCAGCTTCCGTCCCGATTCCTCAAACGCCGACACAAGGCAATCGTCCAAGCAGCAAAGACCTAGCCATTGCTCAAATCCAGGAAGATCAAGAAGCACGTATTCGCACGATCGAGAAACATCTCTTTGCAGAGAAGCAGCTTACCACCACTCTCGAGGAGGCTCTTACAGACTTGGAGCGACAAAGTAACAAGGTCAAGGCTGACTGTGATGCTTGGCGACGACGTGCGAATGAGCTCGAGGCGGAGCTCCGAGATGCCAATGACAAAATCAAGAATGGTGATAACGAAAAAGAGAACCGATGGAGTATGCTTCAAGTTGAGGAAGAACGCAAAAAGAGACGTGATGCAGAGATCGCCCGGGCCCATCTAGAGGAACGGATGAACGCGATCAGCAAAAAGAAGAAGAAGGGTAGCCTAAATTGCTTCTAGATCGTCTTCCGTCTTTTGCATTTCATTTTTGCCCTTCAGCGAGCGTAGCATAGTGCTGTACCTTTTTGCACATATGGATTGTACACCATGCTTTTCAGTGTTCTATTTTATTTTTGGGCACATAATACCTGCGCAACACATGCTCGTGCGAATCCAGTTTGGGCTACTTTGGGCAGGATTTTTGAACGAGTCATCTATCTTGGACGATACCTAGCTCAATGCGTTTCTGTTTTACTTTTTCTCAAACGATACCACCCTATAGCAGGTGTTTGCGGCGCTTGATCCCCCTTTATGTTCCTTTCTTCATGCGCAGCGACGGCTATTTTGTAACGACTTGAACGGCGGAATTTTTTATTTGAACGACTAGAGATAGAATTGAAATTGAAGCAATATGCTTGGGAATGTTTGGTGGATGAGCCACGGATGACACGTACGCTTCGACGTTTTGGTGGTGCGATAGTGGTTGAGAGGTGGACTTATATTTTGTGGAGGTTGCTCATATGGAGACAACGAGGCCATTGTCAATAATGGTAGGATAGGAGATATGAGATAGCTATAATACCAAAATATCATATCCCTGTATTGAAACGCAACTTCTAGATTCGGGATTCCTCAAACAAGTCATCTTCTTTCGCAGCTTTCATCCATCTTGCATTTTGTTGAGAACATGGACAACGGATGGATGAGCAACTGGTTGTCGGATCCGTTGTCATAGTACGATCGTTCTTATGATGTAAGTAGACGAAATTGTGCATGGATCCTATGCCATGTCAGATGATTCCGCATGATACACTTTGGCTGACAATCGACCAACAGCGCAATTCCATCTACGAGTGTCGAGGATTATGTTTTCTTCCCCTTTCGGATGCTTGTCTCGGCTAAGAGAAATGTTTCTAAGCACTTTGATCCACTCATGCACTCCCTCTCCGCCACAGACAACCTCACATCACTACTGACATAGATTCATGATTAAATCACAAGGTGTGTTAGTGATAGTCAGTCGCGATGGCCAATGATGAACTGTAGGTATGCATCTGAACTTGCGTTCTTTTGGGGTGTTGGTTTCTGCCTTGACATGCTGGATGGACCAACTTTGGAGGCGGAGGATTGGCTGGCTTGACGAAGCGAGGGAGTTTTGATGATGATGAAGGTCTATTTAAGACAGATCAAATCCGCTGCCAGCTGAGAAGTCATCTGCTCCTTACAAGTCTGTTTCCATTTGGATTTTGTTTATTCAGTGTGGCTTTATTACGTTATTCTGTCGCCATTCAAAAATTACTTCGAATTAAAGGGCATTATTAAATTTCTCCCATAGATTATATCAGTCATGGCTTTTGGTCAACACACCACTGGGGAAGAGGTAGTTAAGTCCTTGACTGGAAGGACAGAAGGCAAAACTTGTACGCCTTCTATCTCGTGATTCCAAAAACAACTCCTATCAAAGCCACTTAGATCCATACGAGAACCACGAAACTAACAACATCTAGTCATCATAACCGGCCCCTCAGCAAACTCCATCGGAGGAGCAACAGCCATTGCTCTAGCTCACGGCAAACCCAAGACACTCTTCCTCACCGGTCGAAATCCAGAGAGGATCAATCCTGTAATCGATGAAATCAAGAAAATCGATTCCAGCATTGATGTGGTGTTTGTGAAGATGGACTTGATGTCTCTGAAAAGCGTGCGAGAAGCAGCGGCTTTTATCACAGCTAGTGGAAAAGCCGAGAAAATACATGGTCTTGTTAATAACGCTGGGATTATGGCTACTCCATTTGGGCTTACGGAGGATGGCGTGGAGCAGCAGTTTGGTGTTGTAAGTCTTTCCTTTATGTTGGTTTGTCGGTTTGAATAAGATATGCTAACAAGACATAGAACCATCTAGGTCACTTCCTACTTACTAATCTGTTGCTTCCGAATATTGTGGCTGCTGGACCTCACGCTAGGGTTGTCAATGTGGCGTCTACTGGTTACGGTGTCGGAGACGTTGCATTTGACAACATCAATTTCGATGTAAGCACCCCATATTCTCATTTAGTGGCCTACAGATAATAGGAGCTAACACCACTGATATAGGAGGGGAAAACTTATCATCCTTGGAAAGCATACGGCCAATCCAAAACCGCGAACATCTTATTTACGACCTACCTCTCCATGCACTTGAAATCCAAAGGGATCGAGGCATTTGCTTTGCAGCCTGGTAGTATGCCGTCCTCTTCTCACCGCCCATTATCATACTTCAGTTTAGAAACATGACTGACAAGGAAAATAGTGCCACAAACAAACCTCTACAAACACACAATTGCCGCAACCGATCCCAATGACCCAGCATCTTTTCCAGCCGCATTCGCGCTCATCCAAGCCCGATATCCCGATGGCGCTCCAAGTGGCGACCTCAAAGAGGATGAGAAGACCGTGGAAACAGCATCCAGCACACCTTTGTTTGCTGCGCTTAGTCCAAGTCTTGATGGTGAGTACTATTCGAGCCATAATTTTTAGTAAGGCACTGTGCTGACTATGATGGATAGGTAAGGAAGCTCCCGAGAGTACTTGTTTCCTGAGAAATTGTGTGGAGTTCCCGGTTCTGGACTATGCTAAAAATCCGGAGGATGCGGCGAAGCTGTGGGTGTTGAGTGAGAAGCTTGTTGGGGAGAAGTTTGAAATTTAGGGGAAAATGGCTCATAGAAACTTATTGGAAACTTGGAAGGGAATGTGTACTGGAAGTTGTAGTCTTGTTGGGAAGGGATAGAAATCATGTTGAACTACTTTCTCCGTCTTGCTATGTGCTTTGTACTGCAGGTAGCAATAGTATCTTTTCCACAGTATATCTGAAACAGTTATCTGCAAATCTCTAGAATGAAGCAGATTGAAATCTTGCAAGTTCTATGAGAGGTTCAGGCAGCATCTACCTTCTTGCTCTTGATTTTCTATCTAATTGTTCAATCGGAGGGGTCGTCATGTGACGGTATTAAGCGAGATTTTGTTTGGAAAGGGGGGATGGTGAATGAGTGCAACTCATCCTGGAATTTCAACATACAAACCTCGAAAAGGTTCGGGAAGATTCAACACTGTAGCTCAAAAACGTGATAGAACAACAGAATTCTCGGATTACTGCACCTACGAATGCTCACTTTTGGCTGAGCTAGTGGCATCTGAAAGCCCGTTGTCGTATTTTAGTCGTACATTGCGTGCTGAGAAATCAATTCACGGATATGTTTTTATCCGTGGTATTCTTGGACATTAAACTGGCAGGAGAGACCGAGTCCTTTGGCCCTTTCAAGTCATGTGGTGTCGCGTCTCTATCGTGCTCCAAGTCACGCGGTCCAAGCTCTGTACACAAAAGACTCACAGCACTCACACCAACCTTTGACAATAACAAACCAGACCACAGCCGAATTTGAATTCAAAATTTTCTCTTTTCCTTCCGAAAAAGCGCATGGATTTTGTTGAGAAACCTGCTCCTCGGATCTTCACTTGCCGATCCTCTTCCACACCTTGCGGGTGAGATCCAGCACGCAAACACGCAAATGTTGGGAGATTCACCTTTGTTACCATGCTAGGAATCTACCTTGACACCAAGAGCCCAGCCACAAAAGCATCAATTCCATCTCCGCAGTCCGACAATTCTCATTCCCAACTTTCCAGCAAAGTCAATTCCAAACCTACTCCGCTACCAAGTTTGCTGAACCACCCTCGTTGCTGCCGATACATCGCTCACAATGGCCACATCCGATCTCATTGCTAAAGTAGCGGGCTATGTCGAAGGGGAAATGAGCAATTACGATGCATCTCACGATTTCGAGCATATCAAAAGAGTGGTCGGTTGCGCGCACATGATCCACTCTGAGATCGTTGCTACTCAGCCCAATCACCCAGAACTTGATCTTGACCTAATCACCCTCTCAGCACTTCTCCGTAAGAGCCCTCAAAGGATTTACTACTATGTGAAATAAAAATGCTAATTGGACACAGATGACATTGGCGACCGCAAGTACATCAAGAACGGCCAAGACGGCACCATCATGGCTTACAACCTGCTGCTCTCCCTTTCCGCCCCCGCAGAGCTAGCAGCCAAAGTCCAACGCATCGTCAACGGTGTCTCCTACACGAATGAGATTCGCAATCCGTCAGCAGTGGCATCACTTGTTGCAGAGATTCCCGAGCTCGGTGTCGTCCAGGACGCAGATCGATTGGATGCTATCGGCGCTGTTGGCATCGGTAGACTATTCACCTACGGCGGGGCGAAGACAGAGAGATACATGCAAAGCAGTATGGCTCTAATTCCATTGAAGCTTCTCAAGGTCGAGGGAGCTATGAAGACTCAGCCCGGCAGGAGGATGGCGAAGGCGCGCACTGAGCAGCTCAAGGTCTTCCAAGACTGGTGGAATGAGGATATGAAGATGGGTTTTCGATGGGAGGTGCCAGAAGGACTTGGTGGCTCTTCTCGTTCTTCTTCTGACTCGGACTCATCTATGGAGAAGGTCTATCTTTGAATACGTTATGTCCGTGGAAGTCTTGTCATACATAGGTGCTCAATGGTGCGGTGTTACGTTGCAAATTGTTGGCAGTATGTGTGGGCAGACTCGGTCAGAATCAGCATGATATGGTACACAGTTTGAGATTATTGGATTGCAGCTGGCATCTTGGTCGCTATTGAAGATTTTCTCCCGAGGTCTGTAGTGTAGTGGACTCGCTGGATAAAAGGATCTCTTCCATGAAGGCACGACTAAATGAGCAGAACATGAACAGGAAATGTACAGTATCTAAACGTACGGAAAAATTAGCGATTCTCTCTAGCAAAAATTTCATGATGTTTTGGATTAGACGCGTGGTTGACTTGGAAAGGCAAAGCAAGTGAATCTGATTTTAGACAGTTGGGATTCACATAGTAGAGCATGTGATATCGTCAAGTCATCATTCATTAGCAAATACCGTCCTCCTCTGAATTGAAAATGTTACATGGAATGACCTCCTCGTCAGATCGCTTGGTTCGGACTTCCACACCGGTTACACACAAACATATGGCAAATCTGCGGCCAATCCCACGAATGCTTGTTATTCAACAGCAATTTGCACACCGTACATAAATTCATATTCACTACCGTCTCCTCGACGAAGAGACGGGTGCTGGATCAAAAGCATCGTCGTCAGAAATCTCGTCGTCGCTAAGTTCCTGAGCCTGGGACGGCTGCGTAAAAGTAAGTTGAGTTTGGCGTCCTCTGGTAGCTACAGCTCTTTTGGGCAGCGATTTCGCTGGAACAGAATCAACCATGACTACATCATCATCATCATCATCGCTCGGCTCAAAAACGGCCTTTTTGCGACCTTTAGGTGGTGCTCGAGCTGGAGCTTTTGCAGGTGCTGTAGTAGTATGTTAGGAATGGCTGCTGTACAGTTTCGGCGGCACAATTCGAGTGAATTATGAGATACGAGACAAATCTCTTTCACATACAACGAGAACGCGAATGTAGGATAATAGAAAAACGTACCTTTGGGCTTTGCCGGAGCTCGAGGTTTAGCAGGTGCTTTCTTTGCTGGTGCTTTTCTTCCAGTCGACTTTGCAGTCACTGCAGCAGATGCTATTGATGCATTGTCATCGCTACCAGCTCCACGTTTGCCTGCAGCATCCTCAGCATCATCACCCTCGATGAACTCCCAAGCGCCAGGCTCATCCTCCCAATCTCCATCCATATCTGTATCCCATGTCTCGGGACGAGGCTTGAGCTTCGCATTTTTCTTCTTGAGCTTCAAAGTTCCCGCAGCAAACAACGCCTCTTGCTGATCACGCAGCCGATCCATGACAGCGTGCAGAGCTGGCTCATCGTCGACGCCGGCTTCAGCCGCCAACATGCCTTTAAGTTGCGCGGCCAAAGAATCATTAACAAATTGTTCTAGAGCATGCTTGTCATCTTTGTCGACGAACTGAGTAACGGCATCTCCAAATGGTGCCTTGGGCAATATCTTTAAAGATTGTGCGGCAACATATTCGCGGACTAATTGCTCGACCTTTACACCCTCGGACGCCAGAGCAGCAAGAGCCTCCACTGTAGGCATGTCCCTTTCGCTTTTGTCCTTCTCTGGTCTATTGTCAGTATGTTTGTAGGATTTGTGGAACTAGCACGTACTCGTCGTAGTCTTCTTCTTGTAGAATTGTACTACGTCCTTCACATTTGCAACTTTACCAACAAAGCGATTAGAGAATCTCTGGGGGTTTTCGCAATCAAACTTGCCACCATCAGGCGCCGAGTATTCAACCTTCAGTCTAATGAGGGGAAGAGGAACCTCATCTGGAGGGTCGTCATCGTCTTGTATTGCTAGCCAATCCGACTTCGCTTCCTCTATCAAGGTATCCACGACCTCAACCAACTTTGCCGTGAGTCTTGCTTTACTATCTTTGGCTCTCGCTAGTCCCTGAAAGCGTGTGTCATCCGATAAGATGATCTCTCTGGTAAGGAAAGGTCTGACAGTCTTAAGCCTGATGTTCTCCGTCGTAAACTCCTTCCCAGTAACAGTGACTATAGCAACATGTTTTGGCACAGCCTCTCCGGGAACCAGGGATGTGGCAATAGAAGAGCCAGGTTGCATGACGTGGAACATGGTTTCTGGATTGAGGACTGGGTCGATAAGACATTCGTGCTCATGGCCCCAAACAACCAAATCTAACCATTCCGGCAAGAATCTCTCCGGTAGGTATCCCGTCTCATTATGGGCGTGGTGGTTTTGGTGAACAGCCATGAGATTGAACCAGTCCTGCTTCTGGACACCTGGTTGCCAAAACTTGACTTTGTTGTCTCGAAATGTTCGAAAAAGTCGTTCGTCGCGCACATTGCTCATCCCATACAGAGCCAGTTTTGTTTGTCCTTTCTGTAGAAGGATTGGCTTGATCTCCAGTTTGTCGGATTCTGGGGTGCGACCGAAATAGTTGATCAAACCCGATACCTGAAGGAGGTCAAGTGAACAGAAGTTGCCTTCACCGTTTGGATCGTCATGATTACCGTGAATAGAGAACACCGGGATAGCGACATTTATATCTGGATCCTCATAGTTAACATGGTCGAAAGATTTATCGAAAACATCCGCGGCATCGCTAAGCCATTCTAATTCGCAAGGTTTGTCTCCAAAACAGTTCATTCGTAGTGAGCGCATCACTTGATACATAGCCTTTCGGGATGGCTTATTATCATGGAACAAATCGCCAGCTAAAAGGACCATGTCGACCTAAGTGTTGATCAGAAATAGTCACATGGGATTCGTGGAACATTCATACATCCTGTGATTTAGCTAAGCCCATAACCTCATCAAAGGCCTGCCAACTATCATCTTTTCGCAGGGCTTCACGCTCAGCATATCCCACATGGCTGTCTGTGGCGACCAAAATGCGAATAGAATCCGCAGCTAGTAATGTTAGCTCATGTCTGGCTAGTGTCTGAAACAAATCTGTTACCTGTGAAGTTGGGCATCTTGATTTTGTTCCAAGTAAACAGAAACGACAATGAGATTTGTGCAACTCTCAAGGGGTTCTATACCTCATAATACTCAAGGTGCGCAAGTTCCGTTTGTCGAGAGTCCGTTTGATTAGGCAGAGGTCGAGACTTAGGAGACGCGACTCTTTATGTTGAACCGAGACGCGAGTACACGTGATCACTTAAGGTTGCGCGTGTCTCGGGCCGTTAGCTGGAAAGCGAATCGACCTCACCAGAAATTCGTCGCTGTTCGATATCACAACAAAAATGAATGCTACACGTGTATTGCTGGCTCGTTCCGTGTGGAAAGGTATGGAAAGCTGGCGGTATGCGTGAGAAATTCATGCTAACAATTTCTAGGGCCCAACATCGTCCCGTAAGGAGATTTTACATTGACCCAAACTCTTTCTAACGACTTCAGACTCCCCATCGTTCGAGTGCCCCAAGGACAAAAAGCGCCGCCAGTACGCACTCAAGCTCGCTCTGCTACGATTCTGCCGAACTTCGTTGGATTGGTGTTTCAAGTGCACAATGGGAAGATCTATCATGATGTAGAGATTACAGAAGATATGGTTGGACACAAATTAGGGGAATTCTCACCGTACGAAGCCCTCTTAACTACATTAACAATTGACATTGCGTCTAACATTCGAACAGTACACGGAAGAAGTTCTCTTACAAGCAAATGAAAGGCAAATAGGATGGGACTGCAATGGCGTTTGGGCTGTGGGCATGGTTGTTTGGAGTGTTATATACCATGTACATATGTGTAGAAATCGGAAAATGAGAGGCCTTCCCTCGATCGCTCGACATGTATACAAGATTGGAGGGCTGATAACCTTCACAATACGGAATGCAACCACAATTATAATGTTTGATCAATTGTATTATATGAGAGCATTGCCCGGTTACGTTGAACCGTAGATATGGGGTATGTGCCTTTCCATGATGTCCTCTAGCCTTCCGAGACGCCATAAGTCAACCAATGCGCCGTATCCCATATGTACCCAAACGACCCATCTATCTATAGAACTCTCCTCTTTTAACATTGACACCATATTCGCCCACTGCCATTCCCAAATCTTCCATGGTCAACACGGTCCTGTTTTGGCTTCCACCTTGCCCACCGCCACCATAGCCCGGTCTTTGAATTCCTAAAGGACCGCCCTTGCCCTGCTGCTCTTTACTACCCGGAGCAGTTGTGGGTTGGCCGGGAACAGGAAATCCAGCAGCTGCCCCTAGATTACCCATGGGATTGTTCGCGTTGGAAGAATTAGACGATCGTATGCGGGAATATTGGTAAGCATCTGCTGCAATGTCTGCAATGAATTTCTGAGTTGCAAGAGCTAGGATGCGGGCCAGCTTCTCATCGGTCTGTGGGGGCGGGGGTAAACCAGCTTTGGTGAAGTAGTAATTCGTGACTGCATCTGGAATCTATTTTTCGTGTCAGAGAGCAAGACAATGGATACAGTCAGGCTTCAGCATACAATAGGTGCATAGTCGTCCATCTTAGACAGGAACTCTTTCAAGGTAGCATCTTTCCGCGTCTGGACTTTCGGCTCGGGCGCTGGCGCGACAGGATCAACTTCTTCGCCCTCAGTTGTAACAGGAACAAGGTCCGTAGTAGGATCTGGAGACTCTGCGTTGGCCATTTTGACTTTCAAATTGTTATAGCGGGATGTTGCACGTCAATGTACGGAGTACTGTATGAACGATCTCTCGAATGGCGGCTGATTGCGCATAGCACGTGCTGATAACACCAGTGGCGCTAAACTTATCTGATGGTGAGGGTTGAACATCATTTTTTTGCGACCAGTTTGTTTATGTAGAAGAAAGAAGTTGCCGCCCAAACTTGCTTAAGAGGAAAGCCAACAATCACTTGAATCAGCAACCGCCATGGCTGACCGTCGTTCAGAAGCAGATTTGCCGCAAGCAAAACGACCTCGGGTTGGCGATATGGATCCAGCATCAAATCCATACCTGGCGCATATGTATGAAGACGAAGCAGCGAATTCCTATGGCGGTGGCTATGGAGGACAAAATGGTGGTAGAAATGGCACATCTAGTCGAACGGGTCTTTCAGATTTCAAAAGACACGCAACGACGTCTGCGCAAGCACATAAGGCAGAGGATGGACCAAATAATCCTTTCAACAACTCGCCCCTCTCGAATCAGTACTTTAATATCCTAAAGACCAGGAGGGACCTGCCAGTACACAAGCAAAGGTATGTTCAGTCTAAGTGACTGATTTTTTATCTAACATCTCATAGACAGGAGTTCTTGGACATGTTCCAGAAGACCCAGATCCTCGTCTTCGTCGGAGAGACTGGTTCTGGAAAAACAACTCAGATTCCTCAGTTCGTTCTGTTCGATGACCTGCCTCATTTCAACGGCAAGCTTGTCGCATGTACTCAACCTCGCCGAGTCGCAGCCATGTCAGTAGCCCAGAGAGTCGCCAATGAGATGGACGTAAAGCTGGGAGAGGAGGTTGGATATAGTATTCGATTCGAGGATGTCACAGGGCCGAAAACGATTTTGAAATATATGACAGATGGTATGCTTCTTCGTGAGGCTATGCACGATCATAATTTGACTAGGTACAGCTGCATCATTCTTGATGAGGCTCACGAACGGACGCTCGCTACGGATATTTTGATGGGCCTTTTAAAAGAAGTCGCCCTGAGACGACCAGATCTAAAAATCGTGATCATGTCCGCTACCCTCGATGCACAGAAGTTTCAGCGCTACTTCAACGACGCTCCTCTCCTCGCTGTTCCTGGACGTACGCACCCTGTGGAAATATTCTATACGCCCGAGCCAGAGCGCGACTACGTGGAGGCTGCCCTCCGAACCGTCCTTCAAATCCATGCTACTGAGCCAGAGGGTGATATTTTGCTTTTCCTGACGGGTGAAGAAGAAATCGAAGACGCATGTAGGAAGATTACACTAGAGGCAGACGAAATGATTCGAGAAGCAGATGCGGGACCTCTGAAGGTATATCCGCTTTATGGAACATTACCTCCCCATCAACAACAAAAGATTTTCGATCCTGCTCCACCGCCCGCTAGGAAAGGAGGACGTCCTGGACGGAAAGTCATTGTTGGTACGAATATTGCCGAGACGTCCTTGACAATTGACGGTATCGTCTATGTCGTAGATCCTGGTTTCAGTAAGCAAAAGGTCTACAACCCACGTATTCGTGTCGAGTCGCTACTTGTTTCACCTATATCGAAAGCATCTGCACAACAACGAGCTGGTCGTGCTGGTCGTACCCGTCCTGGAAAATGTTTCCGTCTATACACTGAAGCTGCTTTCAAAAAGGAGCTCATCGAGCAGACTTACCCCGAAATTCTCAGATCCAATCTCGCCAATACTGTCTTGGAACTCAAAAAGCTCGGCATTGACGATCTAGTACATTTCGATTTGATGGATCCTCCAGCGCCTGAGACACTCATGCGAGCACTGGAAGAACTCAACTACTTGGCATGCCTGGATGATGATGGAGATTTGACAGCGCTCGGCAAACTAGCTTCAGAATTTCCTCTTGACCCTGCTCTGGCCGTCATGCTCATTTCTTCGCCTGAGTTCTATTGTTCCAACGAGATTCTTTCGCTCACCGCCCTATTATCCGTCCCTCAAATATTTGTTCGCCCTGCAAGTGCGAAGAAGCGTGCAGACGAAATGAAGGCGCTGTTTGCGCATCCGGATGGAGACCACCTCACAATGTTGAATGTCTATCATGCATTTAAGGGCCCTGCTGCACAGTCTGATCCTAAGAAGTGGTGTCATGAGCACTTTCTAAGTCTTCGGGCTTTGCAGTCTGCTGATAACGTCCGACAACAATTGAAGCGAATCATGGAGAAATCTGAGCTGGACTTGATGAGCACTGATTTCCAAGACAAGAACTATTATACCAATATTCGACGAGCATTGGTAGCAGGCTTCTTCATGCAAGTCGCTAAGAAAGATCCATCAGGAAAGACCTACAAAACCGTCAAGGATGACCAGAGCGTGCTGCTTCACCCAAGCACGGTTTTGGGTGTCGACAGTGAATGGGTCGTATACAATGAGTTCGTTCTGACCACTAAAAACTATGTGCGGACCGTCAGTTCTGTCAAACCGGAATGGTTATTGGTAAGTTGCACTACTCTTGTATCCATCTATAAGGGCTCTTAAACTAACTCTTGACAGGATATTGCCCCTACATACTATGACTTATCGACATTCAAATCAGGCGAGGTCAAGACTGCGCTACAGAGAACACTCGACAAAGTTAAGAGGAAGCAAGCCACGAAGCGAACAAAATAGACGTAGAGCACTTGTGATTTAATAGTTTTAGAAGTTATTAGATGATTCCTTCGAAGGGACTGACACTTTGACGGCGTTGAAAATTGCATTCATGATAGTCGTCAATTATGGCTCGGTCAAGATATCGTTCTTGATATTTAAAATGAGGTCGTGGACTCAAGGAGGGCGTTGTAGGGTATGAGAAGGCGCGTCGAGTGATTCCCAGCGAATGGAAGAGAGTAGAGAAGAGCATTATGAGCGCTAGACCGAGAAATGTGACTTCTATTACCAACACTCACTCAATGTCGTTCATCCGATCGCAAAGCACATGGAATTTATCACCTGCTCCTGGCGTCTGCACTCACCACCGCGTAAGTCCTGACTGTGCATACAACTCCCGCCACCCCCTCACCACCCACCCGCTCCCCCCAAAATCCCCCATCTCCCAGCCCTCTACCCTCTTCACAATACAACCCACCGGAGCTTCCTCCGTTCCCTAAATTCGCTGATCGCAGTCGTTCCCGGTTCCCCGCTGCTGTGTCACCATGGGTTCGTTTTCCATTCTCGAATATATTGTTTGGAATTGTGGTTCGTGAAACGAAGGTGGCGTTTAGCGGGAGCAGGACTTGGACTTTGAATGTCGTGGCTGAATTTGGGGGGTAAAACACGTCTGTTTGTGATAGATCACAAATTTCTAAAAACGATACGCTGGATGTATTTCACAGGTATTGTTCATGTATTGGACCCCGCATTTCACGACTGCGTAGCCATTTATTCCAGGAAACATTCCGATATGATAGGAACCGTTCTTTCTTTTTGCCTTGCATGTGTCAATATCTCCGACGTGCGCAAGGAGCGGGTGTACCTCCCCTTGCTCTTTTTCTCTTATTGTGCTTCCCCAGGTGCATGTGAACCATCTCGATGCTGCGATTACGCGGAAATTGGTGTGTGTGCTGCATTGTACCGCGTTGATTGAGATACCAGACTTTGGATGGGAAGCTGGTACTTGATCCTTTGTTCCAGATGGGAAATAGGGGTCGCTGCTGCGACGGTGGTATTCTAGAGCCGGAATCGAAGGTTCTTGCATTGGTGTCTGTTGACCTTGAGTGAATTGGACTCGGTGTGTTTGATGTATATCGCCAGATTTCCCCAGGAATGTTTTTGGTAATGACACCTAGTGCAGAGTAGAATCAGGTGCCCATCTCTCGTAAGGACGGATTGGTAGTTGGAGGTACAAGCTGTTGAGCTATGAATTGTCGATTCGATAACCGAGTAGCGAATAAGCTGTACGATTGTGCTACAAACAACATCAAATGATGGAGGAATAATCAACAAAAAGCATGTTGTCAGATTCACAGCCTCGAGACTAATTCTTTAGGACTCATTGGCTAGGAAGTTCAATCCATTTTAAAGTATAGAATTGCTTTTGATATGATGTGGTGCGTGAAAATTGCCTTGGTAACGAACTCCATAAGTCACAACCTTTCATTACATTGAGCGAGCCTCCAAACCTGCAACCTATCAGGCACTGCCTGGTCGTGAGACATGCGCTTGGTTCCCTAGAACGAGTACCGACAGCCGGCTCTTTTACCATCGCCTTGCTTGATGTTTCTAGAACAAACTTGAGGCTCTCTCGTAGCCAGCAAGCCTCATCAACCTCATGGTGCACAATAAAGAAAGCAAGTCTTTAGCGAGGATTTCAGGTGAAGCTTGAAGCTCCCACGTGTGCGGGCCGTTAGTGCAAACGGGCGCTAGAGCCAGCATCCACGGGAGGGTGTGGAGGCTTGATAGCAGAAGCCACCCCCTATCGGAGGTCGTCTTCAACTCGCTTCGTAGGGATAGGTATTGTTGGCCAGCGGATGCCATTCCGGAGCAATATTGCATAGTCGTCGTCCAAAACGGGAATTTTTCTTTTATTGAGCTCCCATACTTATGGATGCGGCCATAATGGGCAAATCACGCACCAGTAATCAGATGCGGTGGGTGAGTTCTGCAGGGTGCTCCAGGGCTGTTCGTGTCACCCTTTTCTCTGCCGGCGGGGCAGTGGTCTCAAAAAAGTCCCGATCGTCGACGCTCCAGAACAGTTTGCAGAATGCACGTGGAACCACCCATGCCTGGCGCCAGAGGATATTCCAGCATCCGTGTTCGCAGCTTGATCAGAGCATTTCTCAAGCGAATTGCCGAGGCGATGCTGACGGAGTACAATTAAATCTACTTCGTAGAGTACAAACGTTTCAAACCTTTCGAGCAAGTTGTGGATCATGGCCCTAAAGCAAAATGGAAACCCGCTCCGAGAATCCTATTCTGGACCGCTCGCGAAAAGGCAGAGTGGATAATCGAATAAGTGAGTGCACGATGGAACCTAAGCACGTCAGCATATTCCTATCAATGCAAAACTGAATAACGTTTACGTTCATCAGACCACTTGAGTAATTCTTCCCTGCGCAGACTCAAAGCCTTTGGGTTGGTGTTCCACCAATTTCCAACTGTCTCGTTGACGCAAGACTGGGAGCAAACTAGAGCCCCGAATCCCGTCTTCCAATATAAACCTTGCCTGCCCGCAGACATGTTGTGATAAGCTACCCTGTTCACTAATTAATTCCTCGTGACTGTAGTACTTGCAAGAATTGTATTTGCCCCTCGCGCTAGAAGTTGTCCTTGTTTGTCAGAATTCTTGAGACATGAGCCGTACCGCACAAGCTCAAGAATGGGTACAGTCGTAACTAAGCTACGTACGGAGGTAATCGCTAAGTAGAGCTGTTGGGGCTTCAGCTATTACTCCGCAAATGTGCGTCGACATGGGTGCTCTCCCTGGCCTCAATTGGAGCTAATGCTCGTAAGTCGTCGCAAGGGTCCTCTACTCCATACACACATGGATCGAAGATGTTGGAGAGCCCTATATATCCTGATGATCTCTTTCTTTGCCTTTTCCTGAGTTCAGAATTCTAGCGCCCTGATCCTAGCACATCAATCGTTCCAAAGTCTTCAAGTCTTCACATATTTTAAGCCTCACTTGATCTTCGGATCCCTTATTGTCCCGCGCATAACTTCGCGGTTCAAAACGCTTTACTACCAGCGGGTAGTAGTCCAAAATGAGTGGCTCAGGAGGATATTACAAATACCGTTGCAAATATTTCTTCACACATAATTGCCCACATTGGGTTTGGGTACATAATGCGCCCTGCGCACATTGTCTTGTATGACACTTGTCCAACTAGCTGTACTCCAAAAGCTGACCTTCAATAGGCAGATGGCCGTGATTCAGCAGAGGCCATCATGCCTAGCCCATTTCGATTGTCACGCGAAGTCTACGTGCCTCAATTCGAAAATGGAGCGCTCCAATACATCATGTTCGAGATAATCTCGAACAGTGAGACTGATAGTGGATGGACGATTAAGGAACAACCAAAACAAGGATTTCCCACAGCGACTGGCCCATCCGCAGCGCAAACCATTACTGCGTTTGAAGGCCTGGATAGCCAGAAGAAAAATAAAATCAGGACTGTGGCTCCAACGAATACGACCGGCTGGGGTCGGATCAACTTTGAGTAGGACCATTCCATGGAATATGTGGTTCGCGGTTCCGTACTCGAAAAACGTGGAGGAGGAATCCATTTCTTTTGGTATTGTGTCTTAGGAACAACGAATCAGGCATTTTCCCTGTAATTTCATTTTGGAAGCTTCAATTTGATGCGAGGGAAATTGAAAACAGCCTCTTTGAGCATAATCGACATCTGGTCGCTATCAGTCATGTTTGCGAATTTGGGGGATACAAGAATGCTATGCACGTCAGCATGGGGAGCCAGACTTGCTCTCATGGTGGTGGCTTAATAAGGATCATGAAATTGAAGTTAAAGCTATGTCCAAAATCATTGCAATTGACAGATGAAATTTCTCTCGGTGCGTTACCAATGACCCTTCTCTGTAGCATTAAAAATCAAACAGTTACTGGGTGTGTACCCAATGAATTGAACGAAGAAGAGTATGCTGCACAGGGTCCTGACTTGCTATGAGCGGAGAACTACTCGCACAATAGGGCTGCACCAATGGAGAAGTTGGTTGTATAGGGTGTAATATGGCCGAAATCTTTAAAGAATCAAGGCACCAAGGCTTGTGCCAATAGCAAAAGAGAAATATACTGCCTTGAGGCGTTGCACAACAGAAACTCGGGGGATAGACGATAGTGGTCTGCCCGTCTGCTTTTCCAGTGCCAATGGAGTCGTGCCAATGAAGCGGCAGCACTGAACATGCTGCACTTGCGATGGAGCTGGCCAGGGTTTTCTGCATGGTGAAAACAGTGGCGCCACATTTGTGCATTGCAGCAAGTACCAGCCTGGGTAAAATTCCAATGACGAACCTGTGATAACAAGAAGTTCTGAAAAGACGACATATAGCCAGCTGCTACCACTCCAATGGCTGAGGAGTGCAGAAGTTGAGATGTGACAGAAAGTGTTGCCCCAAGAACACCGGCATTCAGTTGTCCCTACAAACCGACAGGAGCAGGTTGATGGTCGAGGACGACGCTATGGTGATAAAGCTCTGGGTCGCACTGGCCTGCGTCGACGGTCGAGACGTACACGATGATGCTCTTCAAATCGTGGAATGATGGAGTCGAGTCAGGCATGAAAGAGGTGGATGTTGTCGATTGATGGTGGAAAATATGAGAGAAAGCATCGACGAGGTGGAGACGACAGGACGTCTGGAGTGTGGAGTGTGGAGCGGATAGCGGAGTGGAAGTGGTCTGGCTGAACTCGACGTCTCCACTTTAAATGGCCACTTTCGTCGCTAAAGCCGATGCATATTCGACCTCATCGCCGACCCCATGTCGTGTGTTCTCCTCACTCGATCCCTCGACCTCTTCCACTCTAAGTGAAGAGGATGGCGGCGGGCTTTCGCCTCGCGATATCTCATCTTCACTGATAAAGCTATACAGAGATGAAAACACGTGGAGCTTTGTCGAATTCGTGCTGTATTTCTGTTCATAGCAAAACCTGTCAGCTAGCACAAATAGGGGCCGACATAGATGGAAGCTGTTCAACGTCGTGTAAATGGAGTTTTCTTATATCAACTCTGCTAACTGCACGCCAGAACCAACGTGAAGACTGCTATGATGATGATTCACGTGTGCCAGCTTCTTGTCAAAAGTCGATTCGATCTATTGTATCGACGGGAGGAGCTAGCTGCTTCGCACAATAGTAAGGTGCTACCTAGGTAGTAAGGTATTAAAGTCCGCCTTGTTTCTCTTCCACATCTCTCCTCATCAACACTTAACATTTATCCCGTATACCTTCCTACGAATAATCCGAATTGTCGCCTGCTGGAATACGTAGGTTCCGCGAACTCCGCTCCTTCGGCTGGTTGCTGGTTCGATCTTGCCGTACGAAGCGGCTGCGATGAGTATATAAGGGTACTGTGAAAGTATCGTCATGGCGGTGCTTTCCCCACGAGCATCGCGAAGATAGCGCTAAGTTTCATCATCGAGTCCTCGTCGGAACTGGAACTGGCTTCCTGCTCTTGCCTTCTCCAACTCAACCCACACTTCTACTTCTACAGATCCTCACATTCCTTTTGCTCCTTGATCCTTGATCCGATTCCTTGTTCGTAGAGAACGCGTTACCGCTCGCTTGGAAAGTCCAAATTGTTGTTACCTCCAGTAAGTGAATGCAGTCGATGAATCCCGTGCAACGCGTTGCTTTGTTTACATGGGACGATTTCATCCGACCTCACCTTTGCGAGAGCGTGGCTAACTCTGATCGTAGAACTAGATACTCCTCCTCATATGAAGCGCAATGTCTCCGCCAACTGCATCCTCGGAACTCCTTCGCTACTTCATCAGTGACCTCTTGTCCTTGAGAAAGACAGCACCGCTTGCTCAAGACGTGGTGGACAAGCTGAACGCACACCCTGAGCTTGGTGCGTACCCATTCACCCACCCGTCTTCTCCCAACCTCCCTAATTCGCATTTTCATTCTAGCGTGCATCGTCAGATTGCCTGGTGATCTCTCGAGACATTCTAGAGGCTTCTCGGGCCAGTCAATGGGACTGCTGGACATCACGAACCGCCGCAATCTTCGCCAGCTCTCGCTCGCGCGTACCTCTCAATCCTCCGAGGCGCCAGACCAGATTGTCATGACAGAGGCCACCACACCTTTGCTTTCTCAGCCAGTTCAGTGGTCTTTACGTCCTCGTGAACGCTCCGACCGCTCTTCGCAACCTCACTCTGCGCCCACCGGAACCGCAGCACAACAATCCGAGAACTTCCAACGTTTCTTCAGAGCAGTCCGGTCGCCAACACACGTTCGAGTCACGGCTGGTGGTAGAATTGTCCCAAACACCCGTGCTCCCGCGCCTCCTCCTGCTTTCGAGTGGAACGGCGAGAAAAATCAGTTCGAGTCGAAGAATCCCCTATCCGAGGTCGAATCCACAAGTCAATTTCCACCCACCTGGCTCAACCACGCTCCTCTTCCATTAGGGTTTCCTCCTATTCTCCCGGCTGGCTTTATACCTCCTGGAAGCTTTCACCCGTCCGTCCCACCACGAGCTCTTACGGGGGCGCCATCTCCTATGTTCAACAGCTTCGGCGGCTACGATCAGCACTCTGCAAACCAAAGCCAAACTGCGAAGACTGCATCCGACCCAGCTTCTAGCGCCGAGAACACTTCAACCTTGCCGCAGCAGATAAAGATTTCGCATCCATCTCAGTTCGATACCACCATGCCTTTCAAGATCAATGGCAAATACGTCTACCCGGTTCCGCCACCATGCAATCCACAACCGCTTTCGATGACAATGCTGGGGAATCCCAATTTCATTCCACAAGCCGCTACTAGTCTTTTTGCACCGCCTTCCCCCTTTCCGATGCCGATGGCGAATATGCCCAATCCTCTTCTGTTTCCCGGCCAGGCCCATTCTATGCCTATCCCCACAACGTCCTCTGAGCAAATGCCAAGTATGTTCCCATTTATGCCGCCGCTGATGTCAATGCCATTGCCGTCTGCATCAGATTGGATCAAAGCCCAGATCAACTCACTTCGGAGTCACATCAGCATGATAGACAATCAGGTAGCAAGTCAACAATTCGACCCAAATTTCTTACAACTACAGCGCTCTATGCTGCTCGCTCAGATTAAGCATTTGGAGAGCCAGCTGGAGGCCCAGGTAGCTATCGAACAATCCGCGAAAGAAGTTGTTCAGCAAGAAATCCAGTCTAACGCTACAAAACATACAGCAACATTTGAAGAGGACACAAGGTTTCCAGAAATCCATAATCGACAAAACTCAGCAAATCGCGTTTCTCAGCTGTCAATTCGTGCTCCTTCCGACAGAGGATTGGATCAGACGATTCAGAAAGACGTCGGCCAACAGAATGACCCAGTCCCTCACAGAGCATCTATCACCAGATCCGATTCCACAAACAAGTCTAGACTGAGTGCTGCTGCAGCAATGGCACCGCCATTTCAGCCAAGATCACAATTCAATACTGCCGCAACCTCCCAGTCGGAGCAATCAATGGCTGTTGTTCGCACCCTCCCTACTTCTCCTCTAGAGGAGATGGCTCCAGAGACTGAGGCTCAAATCGAATCAAGACTCCTGTCGAAAGCATCGACGAATTGGGGTCAGACGATCAATAATGCTGCGGTAGCTGTTGCTCCTCCTCCAAGTCTGCCAAAAGCTCAGAGCATGACTGAGCCGACGCCAGCACAATCGAAAGCAAGATCCATGTTGAGATCAAGTACATTTCATGGACAGGCTGACTTGTCGGCATCTCAGAACAATTTGGTCAATATTCCCAGTCATGCCGTACCGTATCTTGTTGGTGTTCTGCCACATGGTATCTCCACTATGGAAGCCAAATATACGGACTTGATTTACCCTCGACCTTTGACTGAAGAAGAAAGGCGGGCACGGCACTTGTACTGGGGTGCAGCACCCACATTTGCTCAGAAAGGACTTCCAAAGTTTGACGGGAAAGACTTTTACCCTCCATCGCCAATCAAGCAGAATGCTCAGTTGGCTATGTATAGCTTACCTCCAAATGATCCTTCTCGCCATGATTCTCAAACCAATGCACTTCCTGATTTTGGTCAACTTTTCAACGAGCCTGGTGCTCTCGGCTACAAGACGCCATCACCAATGCGCGCCTCGTCGAGTCATTCCAACTTGGTTTCGCTTCCTATGCAGAGTGCAACGTCTAGTGGCGGATTCAATATACAAGACTCGGCGAGAGCATCTCAATGGCCTGCACAGTATGAAAATTATGACACGCAAGTGCCACGCCCGGTGACCCCGCAAGGAAGAACTGAAATATCGGCTGAAGATGACTTTTCCAACTTGTTTCTTGAACGGGGAGTTCCAGGATATAAGTCCCCAGACCAGAGAAATCCTTATCATGGCCAAGCTCAATCAAACGGGATCAGCCGACCGGTAGGAGAGAAACCACAGCGTCAAAACATGGATGACGTCGCACAGGTAGAGGACAGTGATGATGAAGATGCAGGTAGTGTGGACTCTTGGGGAGCGCCAAAAGACCATACGAAATGGGACTTGATTAAGAACGATACTGCTGTTGCTGAAGAGGAGGTTACCGAAAATGATGGTTCTGAGGCCTCATCAGTCGAGATCAACTTGAAAGCGCAGCATTATGAAGAGTCACCAAAGACCAATGTGGATACCAGCTGGCAAGAACGAGTTGCTAACTTCAGCAAGTATGCTCCTCAAACTCCATGAACAACCGAGTAGAATAAGTAGACTGACGAGTATAGTGCCAATGGACAACGAGAATTCTTACAAAACATGCTGAAGACCCCTGGGCAGGCATCCAAGGCCATGACTGGATTTGCTGTTTCTGGTACGATATCGTCTGCTACGGCTGCGGGTTATCTTCCTCAATATCGTGGCTCTGCCGTTGCTTCACTTGCGCCAACAATCTCGAATGTTGTAGCCCAACGTGATGTAGAGGGACTTCAGAATAAACCTCAGATCTTAAGAGAACACTCGACTTCATCTTCGTTCAGCACTGAAAACCGACCATTTAATCAATCTGTGGCTCACGATAATCTCAACCATAGTGCGGAGGGATACCTCAGGTCCTTAGCACGAAAGGCTGACGATGATAAGAAAACTGCGGAGCAAGGCTGGAATGCAAACTCCAGCGGATTGGGAACCGGGATGGCCTCGAACTGGTAGATTCGTTGGATGTCTTGAAGAATATGTTTTGTACTGCTCACCTCACGTACCTCATCAGCCAGTTTGCTTTTGCCGTTCAGCTCTTTGGGATTTCCTGACCTGAAAATTAGAAACGAAAGGCGTGCAGTCAAGAGCTTGTTGGCGTAAGCTTTTGGCGCTTTGATGGATTGCGGTAGCGCTGGGTTTCGAAACTACTACCTTCTAGGACTTCGAAGCATGCTTTTCGAACCTAACAAAATATGAGCTGTGCTGACACTTTCGGGAACAAGTATAACTGCGTTACATTCATTGCAAGACGATATCAAAACCACAAAATGTTTCTTCTATTTTCATTCTTTTTCTATGTTGTCGAGTAGGATTATGTTCCGATGCTTATAGTGACTATCAGGTTGCTGAATTGTCTTTTTCTTACATGACGAAGGGATAATATGTAGTTTGGGCAACCCTTGGAATGATGCTGTTATTGAAATATTTCTGCCTCTGGCGTTTGGTAGAGCTCGTCGACGAATTGTTCGCTATGGATGAGGAGGCTAGAGTCAAGATTTGTACCTATGGAAAAAATAGTCTTGCACAGTATGTCATAGTAAGAAAAATGAAAAGTATTCGTTTGGTAGATCGTGGATTGAAGTATTGAAGTTCAGGTTTGGTGTTTTCCTGGCTTGAGGAGAGATCAATCGAAGAGCCGCATGAAGAGATGCAAGCCGTTTCATTCTTCAGGCACTTTTCCTAATCTATTCGAGTGATGAAAGTATGCGGGTCTGCGTTTTAGTAATTGGACATGGCTCATTGTCTTGTTAATAGGAACACAAGCTCATAGGGTCGAGTGTCGAGAAGGAATTGATTACGGCAGATATCCCGAGTCTGCGACTGGAACCTTAAGCGTGCGAATGAGTTTGTGTCGATATTCTTGGGGTATTCTTTTTTCGTTCTAGAAGGATTTTGCGGTGCGTGATGAGTGGGTTGAGTGAGGTACGGACGTATCACAGATGAGGGGTGCAGAGAGAGGCACGCGGTGGAAATAGAAAATTATGAAATGTGTTTTACAATTTTTTCTACAACTCACCTAAGGTCACAGGATCTTTTCAAAAATTTATAAATATTTCTAGCACAAATCGAGAGCACCCTTCTAACTTCGAGATGTACATACCATTTTTTGTAGGTTATCGTTGTCAAGTCATCTCAGTCGTAACAAGAGCGCAAGTCCCGATCCCTCTCAACACCGCGTGGTAGGGTTGCTTGTGCAGTGAGCATGCTGTACGGTCCGTTCTTGAAAAAAGGATGGCTCCATGGTTGGCTGGGGGTTCTTTTTGGAAGTGGCAGGTTGGTAGGTTTATTGGTGGCGTGGGATGGAGGGACGGATTGGGGATTGGTCATGGACTAAAGGGGAAGCTGACATTTGGCGGTTACGTTTGGGGATGGATGGGTGATGACGAGATGTGTGAGGGAGGGAGAGAAGTAGAAGCAGGAGCAGAAGCAAGTACTGTGTGATAGGGTGTTTGGATGCGTAGGTTTGGTAGCTGGGATGGGTGTACTTGATTGATACCTATGCTTTGGATGGATATTTTTAGGTGGTTGTCAAGGTTTGTTACGTGGGTTATTACCAGCGATATAACTAGTATTAGTGTCTAAGTCACAACCGTTCTTTTGTGTCTACATACTCTGTTACCAGTTCCTACCATAAATCAGCCTACTAAAGTCCCATAATATATCCATAACATATCTTCAAGAACATTGACGAAGAGACATCTCTTGATACGTTTATCCTCGGCAAGTAGTGGGGGATGGACGAGTGATTAGATGTGGCTGTATGGCAGACGAAATGGAGACGTGAGTCAAAATCGACCGGAATCATGATGCCGATGTCCATCCGAAGCAAGATTGCAACTAGGTCGAGTCTAGTCTGTTTCCTTCGAATCAGTATAAATGTCGCTCACTTCGGTTTGTCGAGGTGTGTGAGCGGTAAGGTCGGTCGGTACGGATGTACACTTGAAGATGGGACCTGAGATCTCAAATGCATGTCTCGGCTGCCAGCCGAAACTACGGACATCATATGCAGGCGAGTTATTGGAACTCACAGGCTGAAGTGACATTTTAGAAGTATCTCTAGGTAGACACTTTGATGATTCATAGTATTTGCTGAAGAACAACTGAGATGTGTTGCTGGAAAAATAAGTTTTCCCAGATAACTAGCTGCAGAACAAGCAAATCCAGACCTTCTGGGCTCACACTATACGCTGCTGCCAACCCGTGATTTATGCAGCGGGTGTCGGTTCGGGTCGCCGTAGCCAGCCGCAGCAATCACACCTGCTGGTGACCCTTCCCTTCCCCTTCCCTAGATCCTGCTCTGGCCAACCCACTCTTCACTCACCCTCCTCTGGGAACCTTGGAAGCTAGCGAACGACGTCCTTTCACCTCTCTGCAACGCCCGTATCACGACCACTTCAGACATTCACGACACCACACTTACCTCTACGACACGGCATGAACATGGGCGATCAGTAACCAGACGAGGCAACTGTCAACGTCCTCGTTCCCTCCGCCTTCTCGACTCGCCACTGTTGTCCTTGAGACGCAGTGCACAACGATACACGTTGTACCCGCCCCGGACCAGGATCAACCGAATTGATTTCTGATTAGCAACCAGCCTCGTAACGAGCTACTTCTACAACACGGCCACCTCCGAGTCTACCTCCAGTGTATTTTTGGTCGACGGTACATTTCGCCGGTCGAAGTGACGATATACTCCTCTTCTCTCACGTAGTCCGAGGTACGTCAAGCAGCGCTCGTCAACGCTGCTACCCGCTTCTTGATGACGGCCTTGTCGAATTCCCCATCGTCCTCTCCGAACGGCCTGCAAGAGAAGCGGAACTTCTCTGGCTTCTCGATGTCGAACAAAAGCAACAATGGCCATGGCCACAGTCCATTTCCCCAGAAGCTGAAGAACTTCTTCAGGATAAACAGCTTAGGAAGCAGTGAGAAGGAAGGGTCATTGAAGTCGGAAAGCAAGAGTTCATTCCGCCAGTCGAAGTTTTTTCCAAGCGTAGGCAGGAATCGATCAACAACAGTTGCAAGTGAGGGAAATACGTTAGATGATGCTGTCAGTCCGACGGCTCATGCAAATCCATACTTCGCTCATCAAGGTCCCCCGGCTCTGCGCCATCACAATGAAGGTTCCGTTCCTCCGAGTCCCCCAGATACTCCAACGCTGAAGGTGGATGCCGTATCAGGTGCGAACGATCAGGCCACCATTGCTGGAAAGGAGGAATTGGCAAGGAAACTGAGGAGAGTTGCAAGTGCTCCCAACGCACAAGGTTTATTTTCTTCCGGTAAGGGAGAGGGTGATCGACCGGCAACAGCAGAGCTTGGTAAAGAACCATTGGCGCACAATGCAAGCACTAGCATGCTGGCTTTAGTGGATAAGACTGGCAGTCCGAATGGCAATTCTTTAGGAGTACCAAATGGACATGATGGATTAGCACCCCTGCAACCACCAAATATGCGAAACATGGCCTTCCGAAGAACATACAGCTCGAATTCAATTAAAGTTAGGAATGTGGAGGTCGGTCCATCAAGTTTTGACAAGATAAAATTGATTGGTAAGGGAGACGTGGGAAAAGTGTACTTGGTGCGAGAAAAGAAGAGTAGCAGGTTATACGCGATGAAGGGTAAATATGGACTCGTATATTGAGGGAGTGCAGTTAGCTAACATGTCCCAGTATTGAGCAAGAAGGAAATGATCAAACGTAACAAGATCAAGAGAGCTTTGGCGGAACAAGAGATCTTAGCCACAAGCAATCATCCGTTCATTGTTACGCTATATCACTCTTTCCAATCAGAAGACCATCTGTATCTCTGTATGGAATACTGTAGTGGTGGGGAGTTCTTCCGAGCCTTACAGACACGTCCTGGAAGATGCATACCAGAAGAAGATGCTCGGTTCTACGCCGCAGAAGTTACTGCTGCTTTAGAGTACCTACACTTGATGGGATTCATTTACAGAGATCTAAAACCAGAAAGTACGTTTTGTTGCCATTAATTCGATGTTGGATGCTAACCTCACTAGATATCCTTCTTCATCAATCTGGACACATAATGTTGTCTGACTTTGATCTTTCCAAACAATCCGACCCTGGAGGAAAGCCAACCATGATTGTCGGCAGAAACGGTACAAACACGAATTCCCTACCTACGATCGATACCAAGTCCTGCATAGCAAACTTCAGAACAAACTCTTTCGTTGGTACAGAGGAATACATTGCGCCGGAAGTTATCAAGGGCTGTGGACACACGAGTGCCGTTGATTGGTGGACCCTGGGTATACTGATTTATGAGATGCTTTTCGGTACCACGCCATTCAAGGGCAAGAATCGAAATGCTACGTTTGCAAATATTTTGCGTGACGATGTTCCATTCCCAGAGCACTCTGGGTCACCTCAGATTTCTAAGTCAGTATATGAGTTCCTATTGACACAACCTTTTAGCTAACCATCTGGGACAGTTTGTGCAAGTCACTCATTAGAAAATTATTAATCAAGGACGAGAACCGTAGATTAGGTGCAAGAGCTGGAGCATCAGATGTGAAAGGACATCCGTTCTTCAGAACGACACAATGGGCTCTTATTCGTCACATGAAGCCCCCAATGATCCCAAATCAAGGTCGGGGCATCGATACAGTAAATTTCCGAAACGTCAAAGAGAGCGAGAGTGTGGATATTAGCGGGAGTCGTGGTTTGGCCCTTCCAAAAGGAGTTCCGCTTGACTCTGGTTTAGCTACACCAGGTGCCGAAATTGTGGATCCATTCGAAGAGTTCAACTCGGTGACCCTACATCATGATGGCGATGAGCACCAACACGAGGATCTGAACAACGGACGTTATGATGGCCGATAAGCGCCTTCAACTTCGATTGTGAATACAAATTTCGAGCCTTGGCTCATCAAGTTTGTTCTTTTTGGTCTTGTTACACTAGATATTGGGAGATGAAAAGTCTGCGAGAAGTCACTTTACTATTTTGCATCTATCACGACGAGGAGGTGGTCGTCACCAGACTATCCGTCCCTCCTCAACATCGCATCGCCTTCGAGGAGATGAAAAAAGTTGGCTGAGCATGTTCTATACTATTGCTCTCTGCATTGTAAATAGGGTTTTATGTCATCTGCGGGAGACAGGCATAAGTTTTTCAATTGTCTTTTTTTCTATTTGCGTTTTTTTCACAAAGGTTGAGGGCGCATTATGGTATCACCAAGCTACAGGGTGTTTTTTTGTCTGCCCATTACAACACGAGATAAGGAGTTTGTTCAAGCTGAGTGTTGGTCCTGGTTTTTATTGGCGAACAGATGTGTGAGAATTAAAGGATTACTTTGAATTATATTTGAGTCTGTTAATGTTCATCTGTGAAATGGTGCTGAATTGTGATGTTCTGGTAAGTCTTGGGAGATCAGTTCGTGAGGAGGGGCTAGACGAATTATCTACTTTACAACTTGGATGTCATCCAGCGACAATTTGGGCGGAAGTTGTAAGCCCGAAGTAAGTTGTTGCTAACACAAAAAAGAAGAGGCGCCGACGGTAGAAGGTTGGTATTAGACAATCTGACATCCTGGATTTCTCATCACACGATTCGTTATGTACAAGTCAATGCTCGTTTCTCTCGCGCAAACATGATTCTTCTGTGACCTCATCATCCTTTGGATTGTTCTATTCCTGATTCTGAGTGCGCACGACTCGTGGTTGGAGAGAAATGTAGTTGTAAGACATGGACATATGCATGGGATGAGAGGTATGTGATGGATTAGAAATGAAGGGGCATGGAGGTCAAGGAAGCAGGAAGGATTATAAGTCTGAGGATTGCTGCTTAAACTTGTGGTCGATATGTTGGGCGTGAAAGAGGAATGGCGGCTATTTGCACATGGTCTCGTTTGATGCACTTGCGAAATCTGATTATCTCGGGTTCATCACTCCCTCAACCACGTTTAACATACTCATATCACGGCTTTCAAATTCAAAGTCGAGAACTGGGTGTGATTTAACTCTGTGCGTTTTTCGTTTATGTCTAAGGAATTGAGGTTTGAGTGGCTCCCATGTCGTTGATGACCTTGAGTGGATACGGACATAGCTAGATCACGAGCTTTAGTTGCGAAACGCAATTGTTTACATTGGTGGGGAGGTATTGAGTTCGAAATCAACTGAGTGTAATTGATTGAATTGAAATTGATAAACTTGCGACATCGTTGATTTCGATGGAGGTGATTTGGCGTTGCTGTAGTTTGTAGGGTGTAGATCATGACAGCGGGAAATACTTGAATCTGTCTACACTATGAGTCTACAGTTTGCTCAAACAAAATATGTCGAGGGTTCAAGAAGTAGTTCACAGCTGCAAAATACTCGTGCATTGCCTTGAAGATATTTCTCCGTTAGTTGCGAGGAGGAGGAGTACATTTTTCGGATTTACCAACACCATCTGCCCCGCAATGGATTCTGGCGATATATGAATGCTTTTGCAATTGCACGGTTCAATTTTATCCCGAGACGTATGCTCTGAGAAGCGAATCAGTGTAGACGAAGAGGTGATACTGACGCAGCTAAGTGACGTTGTTAGATTTAGGAGTATGAAAGCCTTATTTAAAGACAAGCATTCCCGAGGAGATCAATGTGCTAGCTCTATGCTGCTGGGTTAGTGGTGCTATATGGACGTAATTGCCTGTGGAAAAAGGCTTGGACGCTGATTTCATTATTTTTTCAACAAAGTCTGGGACATTGACTGTTGTGCTGAAATGAACAAGGTAAATCTCACCTTCAGAATAGAAAAGTCTCGGCTAACAGTTTTCATACAAGTACCCTTTGCTGAAGTAGAGACCGTCAGCCGATGCTGTTTATCGTTTCTTGAGCATGTGAATCATAGATACGGAACAAGTACAAATAAGAAAAACTTCATCAACTTTTTCAAAGGCATAAATCCAAGCCATCATCGAAATCTTTTGACGTAACACCTCGAGTTGCTGATAGAATTAGCGGTCACGTTTAGGACGCAACAAGCGCTGGCTCGAAAACTTAGACGTATCTCACCGAATTAGACAAACTGCTAAGAGATTCCAAACTGAAAATGAAGAACAAATAACCTTGACTCGTCCTCTCATCAGCAAGTCACGCTCCTCAAGGCGATTCGATAGCTCGAGAACTCAAACCCTCGCTTAGGCAGGTTCCTTCCCCTTTCGGATTTTGAACGCCACCATGGTAAATGTTGCGACATGCAACAAAACTGCAGCTTCTTTCTACCAGAAACGTGGAAGCGAAATTGTGAACATTTTGATCTGTGACTCTTGCATAACACCGAACTCCCCTATTTCCCACAAACCGACCTATCTCACGACCCTCAGCGACATCCACAGCTCTCAAAACTACCAACCCCACTTCGGGCATCCACCCTCTTTTCAGCTCGTCCTCCCTCCCATGTTCAACCCGTCCGCTGTACAACCTAAGGTCGCAGTGCGAGATGCAACAAACACACATCACGTCTGCTTTCAGCTGTGGATATCTGGGGCTCTTGTAACGGGTTGTGTTCGTTTGTGCGTGTGGTGACATTGATGGGTGGGTGGTGTGATGGATTTGCGCCACTGGAGATGAGTGGTCGGTGGTGGCGGGTGGCGGTGTCAGGGGAGTATTGGGTGATTGGGTTGGGCGTTTGGGGGGAGGGTGAGAGAAATTTGGAAATTAGTGATTTGGAGGAGATTGAGTGAGGTAGATATGTGGTTTGGATTGTTGATTTTGTTTTTGAGGTTGGTTGAGATGTTGCTGACTTCAGGGGCTTCGCTTAGGTATGACAGGCGAGATGCATAGGTACCGGGTGTATTAATTCGATTTTCGAAGAGACTCAATACTGCAAAATAAGTGAGTGTCTTGTAGACCATTTCTTTCAAGTTATATACAGGTATTAACCAGATGTTCTGGAGTAAGAAAGCTACATTGGAAATCCGAAGTAAATCTCCACAGGTGTTCGCTAATATCATACCACTTTCAATTCGTTCTGATTACATTTATTTTGAGGTGTCAACAACATATCGTCCAGCGATCTTGCCCTCGTGCATTAAATCGTAAACCTTCTGGAGCTCTGATAGTCCACAGGTCTTGTATGGAGCCTTGATCAGACCACGTCTGAAGAACTCGATGGCCTCAGCAGAATCCTTTCGGTTTCCGACGTATGAGCCCTTGATGGTAATCATCTTGATAACTGATTCGAATACAGGAGCTCTGAGGTAAGCACCTGCTGGGAGACCAATGGCGACGACTGTACCGCGTGGTCGTACGTACTTTGGCACAAGTTAGTTACGTGATTTCTGATAAACATTGTATGAACATACCTCAGCAGCTTGCTGGAAGGGCTTCTCGTTCACAGCAACTAGAATGACTGCATGTGGTCCAAGTCCATCTTCAGTAGCAGCCTTTACGTCGTTGACGATGTTCTTGCTCTTGGTGAAATCCACAAAATGCTGTGCACCGAGCTTCTTGGTCATATCTCTCTTCTCGTCCCCACCATCAATGGCAATGATATCAAGGCCCATAGCCTTAGCATACTGACATGCTAAACTTCCAAGACCACCTCCTGCACCGACGATGGCGACGCTCTGGCCAGGTCGAACTCCCGATTCTTTAAGACCTTTATAGACAGTGATACCGGCACAAAGGACTGGAGCGATGGCCTCTAGATCACACTCCTTTGGGATACGAGCCATGTGAGCTGCCTTTGCAATACAGTACTGTTGGAATGTCCCATCGACTGTATACCCGGAAAGAAGAGCTTGAGAACATAGTGGCTCGTCAGCTTGCTGACAGAAACTGCATTGGAGGCAAGATCCATTAATCCACTGGTCAACATTTAGCGAAGGCTCTGGTCTTGAATATGAGGGCAAATATGAGGGTTAATATGACGACGACCATGACGGACTTACCTTGACTCCTCCATAGTCACCAATCTCGATATCTGTCACTAGATCCCCTTTCGCTACAACAACCCCAGCCCCCTCGTGCCCACCGACTAAGGGGAGTTTTGTCGCTAAAGGCCAGTCCTGACTGAATTTAGCTCACTTGTTGTAAACTTCACTAAAAGCTTAACTCACTCCATTAACAGCGTGGAGATCAGTATGGCACACCTTCACAAGTTACTTTCGTCAGTAAAAGCTAAACTCACAATTTACTTCGAGTCGGTACAGAGGGATGCGTCTGTATTCAAGGGCTAGGTATAAAAACAAAGTGAAATCTCACTAACACCCGAGTATTTAATATTGATCAGAACCTCATCTGGTCCTGGCTTTTGAACAGGAATCTTCTTGTACTCGACAGCTTTTTAAAACAATAATATCAGCTAGGGTTCATGAAGTAGCGAGGTTGTATATTTTTTCGCTTACGTCCTCCTGTTTTATGGATAACCTGCGCCCATTGCTCTTTTGGAATATCCTGTGACATGTTGATGATGGAGTGTATGGAAATTCGGTTGGGAGGTATTGTTGAGGTGATTGAAATAGATTTATCAATTTTGTTTACAAGAATGAAAATTCAAAGTAGGGTGGTAAGCTCTTTTATGTGTCGTTGTTGTAAACATGCCACCGGAATCTAGCTTGTCTACCCCTCTCTCTTACGAGGAGAAGCTGGGTACGTACACACTAATGCATAGTATTTACTATCCATCTTGCCGGCCATGGGTGGTTCGTCTTGGTTTCCGGTGCTCCAGGACATCAAATCTTGGTATGGCAGTAAGCCATTGCTCCTCACCAAGACCACTCTTGTCAACCATTGCCCTTTTCGTTTATTTGGTCGTCGAAGTAAGCTCCGGCAGGTTTTAGTGTGATATTTGATGCAAAGAAGAGTATGGAATGAGGGGTATTGTAGGCCAGTAATTAAGACGGGGGCGGCCGTGTTCCGCTTGACAGGAAGTTTATTGTAGGATACGTAAAGAGGAAGCTAGGTCCTTTCGGTGCACGAAGGGTTGTCTTTCAAGTTTCTAGTGACTGTAGTGGAAGTCTAGAGCTTTCAACGCGCTTTCCGTGAGGATATGTGGTGTGGTACGATAAATACAAGGCTTGAAGGTGGCGTGTTGAGTAACAGATCGTACGGTTTTCGTCACTATCCATGGATTGCGCATCCAAGCTCGCTAAACAAATATCTCAAGCCACAGGTAGATCCTGCAACTCTAAATCTTTGTGACCAGAATATAATTTCCTATTTGAGTAGAAGAGGGGTGAGTTTGAGGGGTTGACACAAAGTACTTAGCGTACTTAGCTAGCAGTGGACCCTCCAAACTTAGTTCAATGCGGGGAAATAGTCTCAAGGCGAAGCAGACGCAGATCCTAAGATCGCTTTGTGCTACCGTAGGGCATGTTGGGAGCTTGCTGGAAGTTGTTGTTTCCTGTAAATTACTTTTCGAGATGTTTTGCTGGGTTGCGGGGTATGGAGCTTACACGAGTCGTGTATTTGCGTTGCAGCATCTGGTGTAGCTTTTTGATTTGTGCTCGTCAACCTTCAAACTGGATTGACTGAGCCATGTAGCTGCAAGATTAGAGTTTGAGCTTCCACATCTGAATGATTTCGGACGGTCGGAAACAAATGAGGCCCTGATTCGAAAGTTGGAGTGCATTTCCACAAGTGTGTTCGCCGTTGTGGTTCCGTAAGACCACAGTAATACTTTTGGACGGACGATCGGAAGAAGCATCGTTGCAAAAATCTCGTATGATGTTGAGGCCGTCACCAACGCGTTGAAGCGTGCTTAGGCGTTTTAATATTATTTTCTGTGTTAAAGCAGCAGGGCGGAGTTGTTCGTGCTGCCTTGCCAGATGCACTTCAAGAGAGCTCTAGCCCAGTGGTTATCGAAGGAGAAGAGACTGTTATATACATAATTGCTCAATACCTCTTTGGATAGTCTGAATAGCAATTCGAGCACCTTGATGGCAGTACACGTCCAATCACGCCCAACTCTTGCTGCGACTCGCTAATAAAAGGAGGTCTTAAGCGATGCTTCGGGATTTCCGTCTCTTCGGCTTTGCTTCTCTACATGAAAGAAGATATCAAATCTACGTTGTTAATATTCAAGTTGTGAAGGACGTGAAGATCCGAATATATCGCCAGAGGTTAAGGAATTGAAAACACAATTATAAAGACGCTATCTCATTCATTTCATATCATTCAGTTCTAAATTCGTGTGAGCATGAACGCTTTTGTTCCCACCATGTCTATCAATTTTCCCACCCTCGAGCGTCACTAAAAATCTTGGTTATCTCGCCACTTCATTGGGAATTCATAGAGACAAATCATTGAATAAAGCGCGATCGTGAAATCAACTATGAACCACCTGGTCCTCCTAATAACGCAAATCTCCGTACAATGCTAGGTCCTATTTCGTCATATTCGGCCTGTAGAATGTTAGTATCGTATGTTTAAGCACATATAATTAACTCAGCTAAAACATCTGCTTACCTTTGTATGACAGTAGCTCCGGAACTCTGGTGTTTGTCCCAACAAACTTCCTCCAAACCACGGCCCGTGCCGTTGTCTCTTGTGTGATATCACTTGTACATCCAAACCCCCACTTTTTGCGCCTCCACTCTTAGCCTCACTTGCTCTGATTCTGGCATCAACAAGGTGCTTGATGTCGCGCTGTAATCTACGACCAAAATCCTTGTAGAGTGTGCTTCCTCCAGAAAGAACGATATTTTTGTATAATCCTCTGCGAACATCGATGGGAGAAGATTGAATAACACCGTCAACGACTGTAGGAAGAGGTGTCAGAAAATCAGAAGAATAGATTTCAGGGTTGAAGAAGATCTCCGGTGCAAGGAATCGCTCATATCCAACATCCACAGTCACTTTGCGGCCACCAGGCTGGGTAACGAGATGCTTCATAAATCGACTTGGATCTCGATCAAATCGCGCAAATTCCTTGACAATATCTGGACTGACGTAGCAGTACTCTTCCTTGATCTCGCCTGCTGTTTTCAATGAGGAGTCTGGCTCTCCTCTGTCCCGAAGAAGAGACTGGACAAAGTATGTAATGTCACGTCCAGCGATAGGTATTGACTTGATCGAGGACCCAATAACGTATCCTTCTGCCACTGGAATAACATGCGTTACACCATCTCCAGAATCGATAACAGTTCCAGTTAATGATCGATCAGAAACTTTAGATGACGTCCAGGAAGCTGCAAGAGCAAGTACGGCCTGGACTGCAATATAGAGGCCGGCACAGTTGAAGGATTCGAACATGATCTCGGCTGTGTTTTCTCGGTTTTCAGGTGGGTTTAGAGGCTAGAGGTTTGTGGTCAGCAAAGCCAACCAAGGGAGGGGAGGCTGAAACACACAGGTTCGGTGAGGAGGAAATAATGATCTTCAGGTTCCACACGGAGATACTTGAATATGGAATTCGACCAGAATCGCTCCATATGGTCCCAATTCTCTATTTGACCGTGTCTAATAGGATAGTGTATGCCGTAGCCTAGAAATATTAGCAACTGCCAGATAATATTTCATCTAGAGTATAACGCACCCGGTCCGTTTGCTGCCGCAAGAGCCTCATCTCCAATAAAGAAGTCGAGATCCTCAGTACCCCGTTTCATTGACAAGTGCCCTCCCGGTCCAGCCCCACCGGTTAGATAGGACGGTTTATTGGCAACTGCGGGCCTTCCTGAGCCAGAGCTTCCTGCACCTGCCGCTGGCCCTTTGGTTGCGATCGCAGTCGGGAAGACGAAAGATGGAGAGTCATTGCCTGCAAAGCCTACATTCCAACAAAATCAGCGCAATTTCGTTCGGGATACGAAGGTAAGCTCACCCAGCTTCGAGAATCCAGTTCCGCTGTAGGGTGATTGTTAGCATAGATACAAAGGCAAAAGGAAGCTGAGCCATCTGATCGTATGGAGCTTGTTGGGATGGGTGACATACTTGTCCATGACAACGGCTGGAGTTTGGGACGCCATGATGCTGGAGAGCCGTCGCTCAAAGCTTCAGCTGCACCAGAGATGTTATGCGACGAGGTCTCTGGGCAAAGTTCGAGTCAGAATTGTTGTTGTCGTCGTCGCTGGTCCTCGAAGTTCCTAGTGACGACCAAGTGGGCAGTGTGAATCGTTTAGGTTCCCAATTCAACCTATGACAACCCCGCGTCTCCGAGTCCGCCGTACTTCGTACTCTGGTGGATAGGAGGCACGTGATGTCACTGGTGTGGTGGTACGGCGAGCGACTGAGCCCTGGTTGGCAAAAAGACGTTGGAAATAGACGACTGTGGTTTGTCCCTTCCGCGACATCATCTACCAAATAGAAAAACAGACTTATGCTCGGGGAGAAGAGGTGACAAATCCGAACTGATATCCGACTATGGCAGGAACCATTAGGAGTCGGGCAATTGTGATGTGACATAGGATTTTACTTTTCCGGCTTTCGTCCTCTGCTACCACATCAACATCCAAACCACAATATTTCCAGGACCGCCTCATCCTTCATCCATTGCAGTTTTGATACTGCAACACACACTCGTTTATTTTCCACACGGAAACCGTACATGTTTAGCAATTGACGCCGTTAATATTTTACCTTCGTTTCGAATCGAATCTTTTCCTCCATTGCCGGCTGAAATTGTCTACACTGTTGTTGTGAACGACATTTCACAGCCCGGAAAGGGGGAATTGGATAGGACCCATCCTAAGAGTAGGCGACTGATTGGCAAATCTGATTGGCTCTGGCTGTTCACTGACTAGACTGTCTAGATTGGCTAGAGATATAAATTGTTTCGCCTGTCTTGATTTGGGTTCTCAAATTGTCTTCATAGGACGACCTCCGAGCTAGTCACGCAACCAAATTGATATCTGTAAAGATTTGAAGAAGAAACGGACTCGGCAGACTTTTAGATTGTTACAGTACCCATCTTCTTGCTAGTACGCGTCCTACAGATCCTCACGTTGGTATCTTCAATTTACGCCTCTCTATCATCGACCAACGTCAGCTTTCCCGGACAATAGTAGGATCTTTTTGGGTCGCTTCCACGATTCTACCACCACACTCTCTTCAGCCAAATGGATCACGATCTTCAAAACCGCCAACCTCGTATCTCGAACAAAATCCACAGCGCTCGATCGCGTCTCCGTCGATTTTCGCAAGCCCTACAGATTCCTTTTCGTAAATCACAAATCTTCGACCCCATATCCATAACTTCACCTTCTACCAACAACCCAACCCAATGGTCGGATGTCCCACAACCTTCAGAAATGTCCTCATCTTCTCCATCTTCGGACTCGAGTGGTGCTAACATGAGTCGAGTCATGGACGGAGCGACAGAGAGGTCGACGAGGAGAAGCCATCAATCACAAACAAGACCTGGGATCTCTGCAATATTTGTACACGCTGGCGCAGGTTACCATAGCACCACTAACGAGCACATCCACCTTGGCGCTTGTAATGAGTATGTTCATCCAACCAGCAAATCATGTTTTTGAACATTTTGACAAGTCCCTGCTGACAAACCACAGTGCTGCAAGAATGGCCATGAAGTTCTTGAAAGCTGGCGGCTCAGCCGTTGACGCTGTTGAAGCTGCGATCAGAGTACTAGAAGATAAGGAAATCACAAACGCTGGCTACGGAAGCAACCTGTCGATCGAGGGCATCGTTGAATGCGATGCTACTGTAGTTGACCACTTGGGTAGAAGTGGTGCTTGTGGAGCAACAGGACGTAGGTGTACTTCACTTTCTATTACATTCACAAGGCTAATCACGTTTAGAAATTCGGAATCCTATACACTTAGCTCGAGTGATCCTAGATGCCTCGAACAAACCGCTATCGCTCCGAAGGGTGCCGCCAAACCTCCTTGTCGGCCAGGGTGCAACAGATTTTGCTTATGAACAAAACATTCCGGTTGTACCACACAGTATGGTTGTTTCCAAAAACGCCCGCGACAGGTTTCTCCGTTGGCAAAGCGATCTGGTCCGAGCAGAAAAGGGTGCGGCTCGTCTAACGCCTGGAACTTCTAGTCCTGCCAGCAGCCACGGTGAGGAGGATGTACTTGATCGCGAGTATGAAGAGAGGGTTCGTGACCAACAGCGTCGGGACCATATGAATGCCATACTCCACGGGACTTGGAATGAGGGGCAGCCCGATTCGCCTCAGCCTTCTCCTTGTTTGGAGAAGATGCCAGTTGAGCCTATTCCATGCCCAATTTCTCGCCAAGCTCCGGTCTCTACTCCGCCAACATACAATGATCCATGCAGCAGCGCCACAGCACACTCGCGCAACCTATCTCCAGATAGCTCTCCCTCGAAGCGTCCCCGTTACTCGAAAGGCCAAAATGAAGGTCACATCCGCACGCGATCATTGCTGGGCCCTAATAATAGTAGCAGCAGTGATCTATACAAGTCCGTCGCCGACACTCGCATGAATTACAATGAAGTCGACATGACGCAGCAAGCCCGACCTGGTCGCAACGATGGCCCAACCTCTCCCACCGATAATCCATATTTAGGCGATTTTCTTCCGTCTCAACCCTCGTTTCAAAAAGATGCCACCGACGCTCTATTCCATTCTCTAAACACAGCCATAGATGAGGATATGATTACAGATACTGTAGGCGCTATTGCTATCGATATGTTTGGTAACATAGCTGCCGGCTCATCCTCTGGGGGTATAGGTATGAAGCATCGCGGACGTGTTGGGCCTGCTGCATTAGTTGGTATTGGTACAGCTGTCGTACCGGCAGACGAGAGAGATCCCGAGGGCATATGCGTTGCAGCTGTCACCAGTGGTACCGGTGAACATATGGCGACCACCATGGCTTCTCAAAAATGTGCCGATAGACTCTATCATAACACAAGACGTTCCCGCGGTGGAGCTGATGTTGAAGCAACAGAGGAAGAAGCGATGGAGTCTTTCGTAGTCTCAGATTTCATGGGCCACCCTGGGGTCAGGGGCAGCAATTCCGCAGGTGCTATCGGTGTGATGGCTGTGAAGAAAACTCCATACGGTTACTTTCTTCACTTTGCACACAACACCGATTCTTTCGCGATAGCTTCGATGCACTCAGATGAGAAAGATGCAAAGTGTGTAATGTCTCGACTTGGGGACCACGGTAGCGTAGTTCGAGGAGGACGAAAAATTCGGTGCTAAAATGCCGCCTATCACGGTTTTCCCTACTCTGTTCACATTTTGCTGAGCTCACAGACTACGCATCCAGATACGCTTTAGGGTATCCGATATTGCTTGGGTAAGGCGCGGATAGATTATTATTAGTTCGGATTATGAGCTCATGACTGTACGGTACAGGCGGCTGAATGGAACATCTTCAGGCAAATGCAAGACTGATTTGACGCGGCGAAATCGTTGCAGGAGGAGGCCTGGAGAAATGACTCACTGGAGCTGGAGAGAGAAAGTTCCCTAATTGGTGTATATACCCATGCTTACTTGGCTGACATCAATCAACCTATGTTACCTAGCATAAAAGTTCCCAGAATTTTAAGGCGCCTTGCAATTGCAGAACACGGTTATTGATTTGATTAATAAATCGATGTAGATACCACAAGGTCTTGCTTTAGGTACATTGTGGTGGGGACTCTCTGCTCCAAGTGCTGTGTGAGAAATGAAGGCAAGACCTTCTCTCCTGCTGTGTATTCATTACGTCGGCATTGCTTGCTGATCCGGGCACCGTTCAAGATCTAGATCAACAGCTGAGTTCAGAAGTGGTAAGTGAAATATCGCAGCCCTGCTAATTCCTACCTATATTTTCAAGACATGTAAGAAGACTGGGCTTTCACGAGTCATTTAGGAGGTCAAGAAAACAGAGGGAGGCGTATAAAATACAGACAAATTCTTTTTGGTTTTCATTTTCCAGGAACAGGAGTTCCTTGGGGGCTTGGGGTATCAACTCCTCCATTAAGCTTCCGCTTCTTCTTCTTCCTCCGAGGAACAACTGCTGGTTTCGCACCATAGTCACCGAGTGTCAGGTGTGTCGAGCATGTCATACACACAGCACCTTCTGGAGGCGTGCAGAAAACTACGAAGAACGTTAGTATTATTTTGGGTGTCAACGAAACAGGGAAACCCACTGCTCAGGCATATACTGCACACAAAGCCGACATCCACCACCCTTCTATGGCAGAAACATGCTGCTCTAAAATCTACCACCTCTTGCGTGGGCGCTACTAGACTTTTCCGAGATGTGTTGTCCGGCAGAAATGCCATCATGAGATACTGTAGCAGCCCCTGTGGGTTACTTAACTGCATGTAAATCCCTTTGGTAGTATCAGATGCCTGTTGTAAGAATACTGTATCTCCAGCTAGTTTCAATATATCTATTGGTATCCGCAACCGCTGGGCTGCGAATGTTGTGTTCATTATTGGGATATATTGATGCGCCAAATCCCCAGACACCGAAATCACCAAAATACGACTCTGTAACCCGGTCACGTTCGTTGTGGTGTCGACCGAGGTAGTGGATTCCTTGGAGGGGCTGGTGTTTTCATCCAAGTAAGCTACGTTGACTTTGTTTATATATGCCAAAGCTAAGGTAAGAGCACCAGCCATCTGAGAGGTATTCGTAGTAGATATGTCTGGCTCTGTTGTGGTCGCTACCAACTCGCGGAGGGAAGTGAGAAGACTATCTTCTATAAGAGCAAATGGGCGGTATTTGTTGGCGTCATTAAGACTTGGGTGAGAGGCGTCTTTCATCTCGACGTCTACCGAGTTGGCAGCTTGGGGGCGAGGATAGAGCCATACCGCACGATGGCAATGGCTCGCGACTACAGCTACCTGATTGGCATTATGAGAGGCAAGATGTGCGTTTATAAATACAAGAATGTTGGCGATCGCTTTCGAGAGGGGGAGAGTCGGATGTAATAGTGTCCATGCGTGAGGATTGGTATCGAGTACAATGACGAGGAGGGATGGACCAGGGCCTGCGTGAAGGTTAGACTGATGTTTCGCAGACAATTAGAGAGTTCTCACCTTGTACATCGCCTTCGTAATGATCCGTTCCATCTACGCGGTCCATCTTGCTCTTGTGCCTGGCATGCCAACCTTACACCTCACGTTCCTGCGGTGTTGGTCCGAATGTTGTTGAAGTGACGTCGAAAATGCTTCAGTAATAGATTGGTGACGGCTCAAGGAAGAACTGCGATTACGAAAAGAATGGCGCCAGCCGAACGTACGCAGTAATGCGGAATAGGAAATCTAACGCCCCCAGAAGTGAATTATCAAATAAGAACGGAGAGTCGCCATTTCTGCCCTCAACGCAACACGACTTCCCGTGATCGTGGACAGTCAGCCCTATGGGACGATCTAATCCTTGCTTGTCGGATAATTATTGATCCTGAGTTTGTTCCGGTCTTAGCTTGCGTCTGTGCTTAGAAGACCTTACGACAACCAGCTTCCAGCACTCATAATCAATACAGCCTCGAGAATTATATTTTTGAAAGTTTTCTCGGGAGTTTGCCATCATGGCAAATTCTTCTGACGAAATCTTTGATCCCAGTGTTCCAGCCTCACCTTCCTCAATCTACAACCAAAGCCTCAATGCATCGCTTGAGGACCAGACTATACTGCTACTTGCAGGGTTGATGGAAGCTGGTCAAGAAGATGAGAACACTTGCAAAGAGTTGGCCAACCTCACAAAACTTCTGACCGATGATTCTTCGGATGAAACAAGGTCTCCAGAGCCGCACAAACCTCTTTACCAGCTCGTCGATGCCGACTCCGTGGATACGATTCTCGGCTTTCTGGACATGAGACAGTCGGCAAGCGTTAGAGGTTACGCTACTCTCGCCATATCCGCCTATCTCAAAGCTTCTGGCGACAAGGGAGTCGATCTTCTCTCAAAGTTTTTCCATTCAAAAGTCCGCAAAGGCACATATGACGATTTCATTGTTGCCTTTTCTGTTGCCGCCTCCATCTTTCCAGTTGTTCCAGATGTTACTGCAGCGCTCTTTCTAAGCGAGGGCTTCGTCGCCAATCTTGGCTCCTTGATGAGAAGAAAATGGAAGAGTAAGAAAGTCGAGCAATCTGCGCTCGAGATGTTGAATGTAGCATGTATGAATACACCATGTCGAGAGGCAATCAAAAAATATTGCACCGAATGGCTTGAGGACATGGTTGCCACCAGAGCTCCAGAATCTCCACCCGTTGATACTCAGGAATCCAAGCAGATTGAAGATGGCACGATCCAACAAGGAACTCACTCGGCATCAGTGGTAAACTTGGCGGCAGTTGTTCTGGCGAAGCTGCAGGTAGGTGCTATATTACCCTTACAAGTTTTCTTAAGATTTCTGTAAGTCTCAAAAAGTGCTTCAACTAATTGCAGGGGTGAAGGTAATTCCTACTACGCCTGCTCCTGGTACAGAAGAAGAGAGAATTCAGCCTGCAACAACAAGTATGGAGGACCTTTCAGACATGTTTAAGAATATGCTGTCGGAAGGGGAATCTCAACAGAGTGCAATTGAAGGGCTAGCATACGCCTCCATTCAACCTAAGGTTAAAGAGAAGTTAGCTTCCGACAAACAATTCATAAAGAATCTCATCAAAGCGTTAGCAGAAGCACCTGCAAAATCACCTGCCACTTACGGGGCTCTTAGTGTTCTTGTCAACCTGACCGCTTATTTGCCAGCTGTTTCTGAGGAGCAGAAACGCATAAGTCAGCTGAAAGCATACGCAAACGCTTCAAAGGCGCCTGAAGGTCCCGACCCCTTGAATGATGAGGACCATGTTACGAAAAGATGCCAGACTGTTTTTGAAGCTGGAATTATTCCCGTTCTAGTCACTCATAGCCAACATGGGTCAATAGCGTCATTGACGTTGGTGGTCTCCATTGTCTTTTCGCTCTCGAAGACTACCAAAATTCGAGGGAAAATGGCTCAGCAAGGGGCTATCAAACTTTTGCTACATGCATATTCTGTCTTTCCTACGGATAATTTAACAGCTCAGCGGACGACGGCACATGCTTTGGCGCGCATCCTAATCTCGACAAATCCACAACATATATTTGGCGGATCAAATCCTCTACCTCTTACATCGGCCATTCGCCCGCTTCTCCTACTCTTATCCGAGGATCCGAACTCGGAGCAAAGAGATCTTCTTCCAATTTTTGAATCGCTTTTAGCTCTCACCAATCTTGCATCCACGGATGACACGGCACGCAACCCTATAATCCGGAACTCATTTCCTCAGATCGAGGAACTCCTTCTCTCCAACAATAAAATGGTCACAAGAGCGACCGTCGAGCTGATCTGCAATCTTATGCAATCGCCAGAAGGAGTCGCCAAATTCGCCGATGGCAGCAAGCAAGCAAGTCAGAGGATGCACATTCTTCTCGCATTGACCGATTCGGAAGACTTCGCAACTCGACGAGCAGCAGGCGGTGGTCTGGCTAGTTTGACTGAGTGGGACACAGCTGTCAATGCCATTCTGGAGCGCGATCGAGGTGTCACTCTACTCCTGGCAATGTGCAAAGAAGATGAAGAGGAGTTAAGGCATAGAGGCGTTGTTTGCGTGTTGAACGTGGTATCTGCCCCCGGAAAGGTGGGTGAGTGGGGCGTCAAGAAAGTGAAGGAGGATGGAGGTATTGATACACTAAAGGAGTGTTTGAAGAAATCGCGAAATCAAGAGGTTCTTGAGATTACTGTGGAAGCGTTGAAGAAGCTTTTGGGAGATGAGAAAGATGCACAGAAACAGATTGAATAAGGCTTTAAGTTTGCTTCGTTCAGGTGACGGGAGGAATATGCTTTAGCGAGAGAACAACAAACTTCAAGTTCTGCAAAGATCACACCGTCATCCGGTATCACGAACGACTTCGTTTAACAATCTCTCCCGAAAGTTTGAAATTCTTCTAGGTAGGACTAGCATCGATCAAAAAGAAAAATAAAACACAGAAAACCAGATAAGTGCTTACATCTGGGAGGAAAAAAAGATCACATGGAAATTTGGCCAAACAAAGTTGAGAGGAGATTTGGGACATGAAAAGCATTTTCAGCGGATTAAATACATACATCATAAGTTGCTTGGTACCAATGGTTCTACATGAAATCATAGTTCTAAGATCTTAACATTCCTCTCTCGTGTAGAGGGGGGTACGCTGTCAGACCCACATCTCGCTCTCAGCACACTAAAAGCTCATTTGCTTCTTTATTTCAACATTGAGATGAGCTCGAATTTTGGTGTGTGATACCTGAAGGAAAGCATATTTATGTTGTTAATGACTCTACGGCTCCGAGGAAATACTCCTTCGCCGTTTAAGCCATTCGTGTTGTTCCCTAGATTGACACGAGATCAAAACAATCTTACTTGATCAACCCACCTATGAATACTCAATTTAGTACCTACAAGATTTATGGCTGGTGTCATTTTTACGGGCGCTCACTGCGATGATTTACGTTAAGGCTCCTCAAAAACTGTAAGAAATAGTTGTTTTTAGTTGGTTAAACTACCACAACGAAATGACGAAATCGCAGCCAATAGATATATATTAAATTCTTTCTGTAACAGTAAGCAACCTTAAGAGCATAGTTTTACATCGCGATAGTCAACCTGATAACTTCGTCACCCTTTTAAGCCATTTCATCACCACATCTGACATCAACAGCAGGCTCGCAACTTTCAGCAGTTGCTTCGAAGGCTTGAACGATGTTGAAACGCCATCGTACGTCCCCGGATATGTCCAACTTCATGAAGAACTTCAATGAATGTATGGCGTCAAACAGAGCTTTACTCATTATGAGTTGTAGTTGGCCCCGGCGCAGTCTCCTTATTTACGGCCTCTAAGTTAGGAACCCCAGCTTCCACACCACCTGAAACGAGCTTTTCAGTTGTGATGAGTTGATCTGGCGGAGGAGCAACCCAACCCGCACTCTTTCTTGGATCGACGTGTAGGAGATACATAGTATCAATCTCTTCCAGTGTTCTTCCACGCCCTTCGATGACGAAGAAATAGACCGTCGCAGCGGCTAGGAAAAGACACGACGCAAAAATGTATCCGTATCGGAAGTCGATATCACCAACAATGAATGGCGTGAAGAAGGCGAGGAGGAAGTTCCAGAACCAATTAGCGGCGGTGGATATACCCATAGCCTTGGATCTATATCTGCTTGGATAAACTATGCATGTTAGTAACAGCTTAAAAGCCAAGGAATGATGTCAAAGCAGGACTTACGCTCTGCACAGATAGTCCAAACTATAGGACCCCATGTCGTAGCAAAACCGAGAATGAATAGACAAGCGAACACAATCATGGCCTTTCCAGCATGTGGACTATTTTCAGGAACATCTCGATCCAGTGAAAAGTGGCCCACGGAAGCAAAAACCATGAAGCAGACAAACATCCACATTGCCCCAAATACAAGTGACTTCCTTCGACCAAAGTGCTCAACCACATAAAGACCAAGAAAAGTCGACCCGAAATTTACACCTCCTAGAATCATTTGTGTAACATAGGAATTGTGAATACCGGTACTTGTGAAGATAACTGTGCCGTAGTAGAAAAAATAGTTTGCTCCGGTGAGTTGTTGAAGTGACTGAAGAGTGACACCAAGTGCTATACGATAAGCCATTCGTGGTGCTGTGAACATCTCATACCATTTTTGGTTTTTGTGTAGCTGTTCTTCTTCGTACTTGGCGTGGATCTCGGCAAACTCCTCGGCCAAGACAGGATGGTCTGCAGAGACGCCATAGAGTTTCCTCATCGTTTCTTTTGCTTGGTCAGTCCGGCCATGACGATAATCGTATCGAGGACTTTCTGGAAAGAAGATTATGCCAAACCCGAGAATAATGACCCATAAAAAGGATATTCCAAGCGGGATACGCCAAGACCCAGTGTCGTTACGTTTTTCGGTACCAAAATTGATCTTCAGTGTGTCAGCGGTAGCTTCAGCATATCATCGGTTACGTCTCTTACGCAATTCGCAACAAAAATACCAATGGTAATAAACAATTGATATGTACTGCTTAAGTCAGCAAGACTTTTAGACAGCCACGAAACTGATCTGAACGAACCTGATAAGTGCGCCACGAATGTGCCTTGGTGCGCTTTCTGATTGATACATAGGCACCAATAAGCTCAGTGCGCCAACGCCTAACCCAGCGATCCATCTTCCAACAACAACTTAGAGATGTCAGCATCTACTTCAAAAAATCAAGCAAAACAGTAATGATTATGATGTGCTTACTTTGATACCACTTTGGCTGTTCAGCTGTCATCTGTACGATGAGACCTACATGGAGCATGATACACCATGCTGAGATTGACCACTTCCTGCCGATTCTGTCCGCAACAGGACCAGCTGTCAAGGCTCCCATCAATGTGCCGATTGAAAGTAGTGCAACAATAAGTCCAGATCGGACATTGCTGAAGTGGTAACCGTCACCGACAGAATCCCTCTGCCCAAACCTCTCCTTGAAATCTTTCATACCCAAGAAACCAGAAATCTGACCAGTGTCGTATCCAAAGACAAAGCCTACATATGATTAGATAAATCGTAAAAGTTACATGGCACAACATACCTCCTATGGAGACAAACACTCCCATGATGAAGGAGTGTATGGTAACTATAGGTATAGGAGGTGCATTTTGATAAGTTTGCTTTTCGCCTTGAGAAGTGTCGCCATTTGTAGAAGTAGAGTTGCGGCCCATAAAGGGGATATTTAATCTGCTCGTTATGCCCATGATATCTATTTTCGATTGAAATTTGTTGTGAGGATACACAAGTCATACACAAGAAGTAGATACATGTTATATAGTCTCAGTTCTGTGCCGCTGGAATTGCTCATTGGATGGGCTGTTCTGGATGGGCTGTTTGTCAGGGGTACTACATCTCCATTGGTCGACGATGTACGGAGTAGAAATGTCATGGGATAGAAAGAATCTACTCTCCTTTTCTGGCGACGAGAGAGAAACGAAGTAGAGAGCCACGAGGTATGGCCACCATTTGCCGTTGGGGGTGATTTGCAGAAAAGGACTTGAGTGATTAGTCTGATTCAATTTCAATAGCCCGGAAAGGACGGAGCCTCGATTCCAGAAGTAATTCACGGCTTTGAAATGCTTAGAAGGCCCGATGGTGCAGGACAAAGGACCAGGAACCGGCGGCTACCTTATTCAGCAGCTTTGGACAGAGATATGGCAGATGACTTTGCGTGTAAGGAAAGGCCCGAGAATGACGACAGAGCCACCATGCGGTTCAGCATCGCGTCTACGACCGATTCAACACGAGTAACAGAATGAAAGCGGAAAAACAACAGAAAGAAATACACAAATGCTACCAGAGCAATATGCCAATGAACAGAATCAAGGCACAACCACGTCGAGCGTAAACTGCTGCGCGAAAACGTGATGCGTATCATCGAGTCCTTTTTCAGTCCAATGCAGCATCCGTTGGCACTGCAGTGGCCACCTAGCCTGGCATTACACAATATACGGTTCCGTCGACTTCCCCAGAAACTGGGGAAAATGAAATGGCCTCCCATGTTTGTGGTAAGAAAACCGGATGATCCGGCATCCAAATACCCCAAACTCAGGAGTGGCACTGGAGGGTAGCAAGGGGCCTCGTACGATGACGATGCGGGGACTTAGAGTTGAGTTTTTAAGAAGATTCCTGCTTGATCTCGTGCTCGTATGCTGCATAGATATCAGTCTGAGAGACGATTGAAGCATCGTATTGTCATCTAGCCGAGAGCTGGCGACCGAGAACTTGAGAAGACAGGCGGGATTTTGCGATGAGTATGAGTGTAATAACACGGATTCACGGTGGAGGAACCTCGGATTAACAGCTCATGACTCTGGATGAACTGCAAGTTGAATCTGTTCTACTGTGCGAGTGTGAGTGCGAGTGAGCTGTAGAGATGAAGTTGGGGTCAATGCCGAGATATCGGCTCTTTCTTGGAAGAACCTTTCGAAATTGCGGCTCGCAATCACGTGGTTGAAATTTTAAGCGAAATCCCACACACTTTTTGGTTCTTCGCCCTGCGATTTCGTTTTCTCGATTTACGACCAACGACAACCACCAATCCGACAATTCTCGTCAATCCAACAACCAGCCACCATGACGAAAATCAACAGCTGTACGTATTCTCTCGCCCCTACTCGATGTATATTCGATAATGAGAGGGGGCCTTTCTAACTCTTGAGCGCAACGCTAATATCTCTGAAGCCCTCCACTCCTCAAGGAGAAAGTCTCGCAAGGCTCACTACGATGCGCCATCAAGCGTCAGACGAACAATCATGAGCGCTCCATTGAGCAAGGAGCTCCGTGAGAAATACAATGTTTGTGCCCTAGAAAAATGCTGGTCTGTGACTTTCCTAACATTGTTGCTAGGTTCGATCCATCCCAATCCGAAAGGACGATGAAGTCACCGTTGTCCGTGGTTCCAACAAGGGCCGTGAGGGAAAGATCACTTCTGTCTACCGTCTCAAGTACATCGTACACATCGAGCGTGTTGTTAAGGAGAAATCTTCTGGTCAATCAGTCCCAATCGGCGTTCACCCATCCAAGGTTGTCATCACGAAATTGAAGCTCGACAAGGACCGCGAGAACATTCTTGAGCGCATCAAGACCGGCCGAGAGATCAAGGAGAAGCTTAAGTCGAAGGCATAAATGGGTTTTGGTCTGGCGTGTTGGCATGATATTTTACATAAAAGGGTGCTGGCAGGCGCTGGCTGGTTGTGCTAGACAATAGGAATACCAAACCATTTATGGCCATTTCACATCCTCCGTGCTCGCACGTCTGGTATTACTGTGAAATGCTCCATGGGAGTTCCTCCCGAAGCAACTGTGCTTATGCATAGTACACTGCCATTGCTATACATACATTTGCTTTGGGAGGGTCGCGCTTCCGTACTAACTGAGAAAATTGCAGCTGATGATCTTTTCTTTTTGTTTTGGATATATTATCTCCTCGTCAACCTCCTTTATTGGATTCTACGGCTTTCGAGGTAAACGAACATCCTAGAGGAAACAACAAGCCTACCTCTTACAAGGTAGACTTGCTTACCTGCAGACCGTCCTCTAGATTTCAGTCATTGATGTACGATGGTTTGAAGGTAAGAGACATATACACTTTTCATTTGCCTAGTTTTGATATTAAATAAAATTTTATCTTCTGGCAACCTTATTCCCAAAAACATCTGCTCGCTGCCGAATGAAATTCGGTAGAGTGACCTAAAACTTCTCTACGTATGGTCGGACATCTGCAAGAGAGTTAGTATCCTCTACCCTCAATTAATACCAGGACAAAACTTACCAAGTTCTTGTGTAAAATGTGATCGAGGTTGGGTATGGAGGTACCAGTAACTATCGGCAATCTGCGTGTTTCAGTCAGCATGGCTTCCAAAATCCAGCAAGAATGTAACTTACAGCATCACTATTAATCTTCGCATCCGGCCCCGCGCCAACCATCCACTCTTTCGTCCTCGGAATATCAATCACACCATCAATAATAGCATGTACCACATGAACACCCTTTGGACCAAACTCCCTCGCCAGACTCTGTCCCGTCGCTCTCAGAGCAAACTTCCCACTCGCAAAACTACTCATATTGGCACCACCCCTCAAACTCGCCGTCGCACCAGTAATCACCAGCGTAGGCGGATGTTCACTTTTCTCCACACTCTCCAACAACAACGGCAACACCTTTTGCGCGAACAAGAAAAATCCCTTCCCAGTCGCCTCATACCCGGCCTCATAGTCCTCCAGCGAGAGCTCCAAAAACGGCTTCCGGATGAATTTCCCGCCTACATTGTAGATGGCCGCTGCTAACTTCTTATTCGCAAACGCCTGATCTTTTTGGATTTCTGAGAACGCTTTGGTCACTGATTCTGGGTTCGAGACGTCGGTGGAGATTCCCAGGGCGGTTCCGCCTGATGATTTGATCTCTTCGACGATGGATTCGTAGTTTGCGGGGTTGCGGGCGAGGAGGACTACGGGGTATGTTTTTGCGAATTTGAGGGCTACGGATCGACCTTTTTACTTCTTAGTTTCTAGCTCTTTAAGTTTGCAAGATGAATAATGTAGGGTGTATTACCAGTTCCAGCACCGACGCCTGCGACGATACTGAAGAAATTACTTTTAGCAGCCATATCTGAAGGGTTTAGGTGATTGTTATGCTGGTTTATTCGTCGTGAAGCTGTAGACATGTATTACACAGAATGAGATATCAATTGAAAATGTAAAAAGATGGAAAGTGAAGAAGCAATTGCTCTCTGTATTAAATGGTTTATTACTTCATGTCGACGAATGACGTGACGATCGCGAAATGGAGGGGTAGCTCAGGCTTGGTCATCAATTCTGTGCATTGTCAACAACTCCGAAAAATGGGAAGAAGCTTGAAAATGGAACATGATTGGAGCTTTTCTATTCTAGTTTGGTTCCTTGTCCCTTTCTGGAAACCAAAGTATGCTTGGAGGGACTTTTGGATTAGTGAACGCGGAGGTATCATGTCGCCGTTGCCAGACCTTAGTCCGATGACTTCGGGGCTAGTGTAACAACAAAACTTTGAAAATTAATAGTCAAAAGAGACGAAGCCTCTACATAAATTTACAGTGGTTGTTTACCATGGGCTATAGTAGATGTACTGGAGATATCGTTAAATCAGGATGTTGTGTACATAATGTCTCATTTCGAAGTATCGAAGAAGAGAGTATATAGATATCTTTAGATTACATCCTGATTTCTATAACATATTTGGCAGATATCTAAGCCTCTTTGTTTGAAACTCGTTTTGCTCAAGCAAAACTCCATCTATGCGTAGCCAAATCTTACACCTGCCCAATGCACCTAGCCTTTCCATAACGCCATTGAGAACCAAGTTGCTTCTCATGCAAATATAAACATAAAATATACATAACGGGTGTATGCCTTGGGACTCAGTTTACCCCGCACATCACCTATTTTAAGAAAACACCGTCTATGCGGTTTTCAACATTAGCTTTTGGAAAGCTACTTCCTCCTTAGTTCTGGCCTGTAAACCATTAACGCTATGCCATCTGGGCTGTAAACGAGTCTTGGCCGCCTGATCCTGGGCCTCTAGCCTGGAAAGAGTACTCAGTTTACTGAAAGTCGAGCTCGGAGTTTTTGAATTAACCATACATAAAGCAATGTATTCGCGCTTCGACCTTTCGGAAAGTTTGTCGTACAAAGCGATATTTAATTCGTAATGTTCAGAGGCATTTTCAACCCACAGGGCTTGTACAGCCAGTCTTGCTTCAATGCCATAGAGCCTGATTTGGCGGCAGTCACTGACGCGCTTTCCAATAGATCTGTCCTGCCGCTTCTGGGTTTGGCTCAGTCCTTCTAATATATGGACAGCCGTTGGTACTCCGGCTAGACTGAAGGCTCGATAATTGTCCCTGGGTGGAGTCTTGCATGGCACAGAATTTTTGGCTATATTGGGACCAACTAGAGCTACAGATGCCTTGTGGAGTTGGTCCGCTGCGTAAGTGATCGAATTAGAGAGACTCTCAAGTTGAACATGGCGTAATAAGTTTTGTAATGCTACACCATTCAGCCTCGGATGTAAAGTATGCCCACGGTCCGTGTTGGTAGAATCAACGCCGCACAAAGCTAACAGTCGATACAAAGCATATCGGACGTCGGGGGTGTAGGTAATCGCAGTCGGAACACTATCACTGTCCCAACCCAGCAAAATAGCATCCAAGAGTTTGATGGCGGCCTTGTAGTCCTGCTTAGCAACGCAGTGCTCGACTATTCGCGTAATGGTGCCTGACAATACAGTCTGGCCTTCTCGAATGGCAGCCTGGACGATACGAATAGCTGTGGCTGGACCATGAGCGGCAAGATTTCCTCGAGAAAGACTCTCAAAGATAGCAGGGGTTCGCTTAACTTTCTCTATAAGAAAGCCACCCCTGCGAATGACCTTGCTTGTCATTGCCCAAGTAACGACTTCTGGTTCACTGGCGAGCTGGTACACCAACCTGCGCTTGACCCGCATATCGGCATCCTGCCCTGAGATTTCATTCTCATTTCGCATTCCACGCATTCGTTGAGTAGTATCACGAAAGCCAGCCGGATCTTTTTTAGCAATATAATGATCGAGTATGAGTTTGGTTGTTCTCTCGTTTGGTGCGAATTTGCTGTCGTTGTGAAATGAGTCAACCACAACTTGAGCAAGGTGATGCTGCCGAAGACGAGTAAATTCGCTGATCAGGATGTTGTAAGTTACAATGCTAGGAGGAGCAGTAGACACCAACAGATTGTGGCAAATCTTTGCAACTAAAACATCGATATCTGCCTGTGTTGGGGATGCTTTCGCACTCAAGGTGACCAGTGAGCTATGAAGAGCTGCACGCTCTTTGTTGATCTCTTTATCGTCCCGCCATCTGTAATTTGGATATTGAAGGAATCCATCTCGCAACTTGCTTATTCGTTCGGCCATTTGAACCCTCTGGAGCTCAATATCTCCACTGACCCGCATAATCTCGTTGTTTGGCAAAGAAAAGAGACTAGTCCCCAGCAGCATTTGGTCAACTAGGTTACGGATCATTTCTTCCCTTCTCTCGAGATGAGCTTGAGTCCTCGGCTCACGGTGCTCAAATTCGCGATCCTGCCGGATGATCACATCTTCGTCAATGAACTCTCGTGTCGTTGGGGGATCCAATATAGCTTGCGAAGGTGTATGATCGTTTCGTAACCGGGTATTGAGTCTCTTCAAGCTTGCGTCAAGCTTTGTATATTGTGTTGCAGATGTCGAGCTCCATCTTCTATCCCATACTTTGGTTCGAGTATGGTCCCAAGGCTCATCGACGTGGCTTTCCTTATCGGTTTCATGAATCTCTCCTGAACCATGCTCCACTGCTCTGCGTTTATGAGCAGTGCCAGGCACCTTCAATTCTGCAATTGGCTTTCCAGATTTGACATCTTCAATCGCACGATCCCAATCCTTTATTCGGTTATCCTTCGCTCTGGCGTCTGCTATGGCTGCTGAAGCTAGTATAGAGGAGTAGCATGCGGTGAAAAGCTCCCCGACTGTGAGTTTTCGTCTCTTTACAGCTGCAGTTGTGCTTCGTCGAGTTAGGGCTACCACGGAGTGGATGCAAGAGCTGCATTGACAGGATGATTTGGCCTGCGCAGCGCGAGACCAAATGACTTGCATGTTACGCGCATGCTGATATTGGCCCAATGGACAATATAGAGGTTGTTGACTTCCTGTGGCCTGGAAGAATTCGCGATTGAGTCTGGCGTATGGTCGAGACTTTCTGATGGTGGAAGACAAGCTCAGTCGATTGCTACAATATCAGAGTTGCCGCTTTAAGCGCCAGCTGGAGTGCTTAAACCCCACCAAAGCTCATCAGTCATATCCGTGGACTTCTCATCCTCGATCATTTGAACACGAAGCCCAACATGTTGACCCTCACTCTCACAGCGGACCTGACAGGGTCAGTAAACTTCTCAGAAATGTCTTGGACGTCGCTAAGGCCAATCTTCATAGCGTGACGGACCTGAGACCGGATGATACGCCTGACAACCCTTTCTGGTATACGTTCAAAGTCCAGTGTGGCTCTTGTAGAGAGATCCACCCAAACTTTGTCAACGTGAACCGCTTTGTAAGTGATGTTGAAGATTGATCCAAAGAATGGTTCAGAATATAGGACTAACTGTGTGACAGGAAGCAAATGAAATGCAAGGTAGTCGAGGAGAAGCCAATTTTGTCTGGAAATGCAAATCTTGCAAGGTATTTCCAACTCATATCACACGCCTTCTTGCCGTAAATTAGTAACAGCAAAACAGAGATCGTCTTCTGCAACTATCACCATTGCACCAATACCATATGAGCAGAAGTCGCCACCAACTCGGCAAAAAGTCATTGAATTTGACTGTAGGGGTCTTGAGTTTACAGAGTTCAAACCAGAGGTAAGTTGCTCTTGGACTGATGATTGCTATGATACTTACACTTACATTCACTCAAGGGCGATTGGTTGGCTACTGGTGTGGACTCTAACACAAAGTTTACTGCTATTGATCTCACAGAGGGAGACTGGTTCGATTATGATGAGAAGGCTGGTGATGAGGTTAGCATTAAGGACTTGAAGTGGGAAATTAGCAGGAACTAGTCAGCTGTGATATGCTCGGTGTAAAGAGGTATCAAGGAGAATTAAATACCTTATGATATTATGAGTTCTGGGGTGAATATTCCGAGCAATGATTATGGGACTGATGTCTTAATGTCGAAGTTGAATATTATTCCGAGCCATGAGAATCTATTTAGGTTTCTTGCACGTATTCTGTTTCTCAAAGTTGTATTATCCTTAAATATCTACTAATATCAACTTTACTGTTCAAGAATTCGTGTTGTGGTTTGAGCCAGGTAATATTCGCTATCCTCTAGATCCCGCCAGCCAAAAGCAGCACCGACCTTTAAATTCGCAGCCTCGAGAGCTCAAGCAACGCGCACAAAATATATCCCACGCGCCCACAACTTCATACCTCTCTCCACCGCAAAAATGAGTGTAAGATGTTCCCCGAAATGCTAGTAGGGTTCCAAGCTAACCACCTGTCCCGCGCAGTTCATGCCAATCAACCCGCGGCCCATGCTGCAAGGCCTGTACGTCCCTCCCCCAAGACCACCCAACCCACTCTGAACCTCCCGCAAGCACGGCTGGAACAGAACGCTGATGGAAAGCGTGATAGTGTTAACGACGAAGTCATCATCCGCCTTAAATGGGGCCAGACCGAGTACAAGGGTCGTCTTGTTAGTATCGACAGTTATATGAACATCCAGCTTTCGAATGCGGAAGAGTGGATTGATCAGCAGAAGACGAGTGATCTGGGACAGGTTTTGATCAGGTATGCATGTTTGGAAGACGTCAGAAAATTTGGTTGTTCTTTGGCTGGATGGTGGGAAATGATCTATGGGAAGCACTTGCTAATAGTGGTGTAGATGTAACAACGTTTTATGGATCCAAGGCGCGAACCAGAATAATGGGGATACGAAGATGGAGGGTTGATATCTCGAGGGCATTGCGAGGCGTGAGTAAAGCACAGTAAGCTGTGTTGAGGTTGGCAGCATACTCCAGCCGTGGACTGGAGTGAAAGTGCGGAATCCAGATCTTTGAATTTGACACAAAAGTTCATTCGACATACCACAGGACAAGGCGTTTATGAGAATAAGAGGGTCATGGCAAAATGGAAATTTTATGATACCACCGACTGTTGCCAACCTTCATTGTTCCAAAGTCATAGACCACGCTTTTTGTACCCGCTATGCAAGTTCCTCCATAATTCAGAAATCGTTTTCACATAAGACATCCAACCTTTCGACTGCTTCCTACTTCACTCATCCCTAGTCGCATTCGTTTATTTGGTCCTACCATAACGAATGCCTCAACCAGCCATTCATACCATACTTTTCTGTCATCCGTCTGTCTCCAGACACTAATTTCTAGTTCCGAGTCGTCAGGGAAGTAAAGAGGGTTCTGTACAGATGGTAAGTATTGAAATAGACGGAATTCATCAAAGATGTTGCATAGACAGCTTACCTTCAGAGGGAAGAATATAGGGAACCAGGAGATCATATCCTTGCTTTTCGCGTCAATAGTGTCAGGCCGAGTGCTCAACTCTACCTTCCCATTCTCACCACCATCGTAGAGCACAGCCTCAAAATACCCGGCTATCCCATTGACCACTCCTCTGTCTTTACAGACAAAGTTGAGTCTTGAGTATCGAGTGTTATGCTCATTCGCTCCATCTCCTCCAGCCATACTGCCACCACCACCACCGCTGACACCTCCGCTTCTTCTAGCCTCCGCTATCGCAAGGGTACTAGCAGGAAGCGGGTGCGTGAATTCCCAAGCCTGTTGAATGCGAGGGTGGTCAGGTACAGATGTGGCGAGATAGTCAATAGCATGTAACATGACCACATACGGAGTCTCTGTTGCAGTTGTATCTGTGATAGCCCTTTGAGAAATATCCGAATGTAGTCGAGGCGCCAGAATAGGCGTTAAGTGCGCTGTATACGAGCTAGGAATTGATATACCAAACTGGGGAGCCAATACATGTTGTACACCATCTAGACACTCGGGTGAGAGTTCATTATCGGCGAATGAGCCTAGTAGCTCAGACACAATAATGTCTACCTTTCCGTATATTGGAACTGGCGAGGCCGCAGCGCCAGATGCCGATCGAAGGGGACCTTTCCAGGCACGCATATCACTCTTGACAACGTTTACAACTCGGCCCCAGTCTTCTTCGTTGTGTCTCTGAAGGAGCACGTACGCGTTGGGATTCTTTTCGACCGCCCACACTTCGACCGCAACGCCAGTTGTTTGACTCGCTTTCAGTGCACGAGTGACGAGAGGACCACGACCGGAGCCAGCAACAGCTATCACCACTGAGCCGTTCAAATTGGAGGTTGGCTTTTTCTGTGATGCCCAATCAGATAATGCCTCCTCAATAGCACGTTCATACCAGTCGTATTTGACGGGGTCCTTCTCGAAAACCTCATAAGTGACAGACTCGAGATTGTCTGTGAGAGGTTGAAGCGGGGCTTGGAGATAATCTTGGTATCCAGAACCGAATTTCTCTATAGCTGTTCGGGGAGGCTGATTCCGCTGGAGATACCTCATGTATATCAAATGAGCTGCCGAGTCCTTAGACTTCGACTTCTGCTTCGTGGTGTGATCGGCTGATTCAGCAGGAGTTGGGGAGGCAGACATAGAACTGGATCTTGATGCATCAGCAACAGCGCTCGGTGATGGGAAGCCATCGGCAACAGGTGTGAGTGCGGTAGGATCATCCAATCCTGGAATTGGTCCAACATCGGACAACAGTAACCAAGGTGGATGTTTAGACCTCATGTATCTTGATAAGAGTGCTTGATGCGCTTTACCTAGAACAGGATGCCCACCCTTGTTCTTCAAAAAAGAGGAGGGTGTGAAAGATAGCAGTCGAAGTGGTTCTGCAAACCATCTGGATTGTAGAGAATCTAAAGGTAAGTGACGAGGAATTCCCAAACCTAAGAAATTATCAGCTAGTATTCCATGATGATTATAAAACAGTCAGTAGAGCTGAGACTCTGTCTTGGGGGCAATTCAGTACCACGTAGAAGCTGTCACGCCGCCCAGCGCTACAATTGAAACTTCACACCACGGTATTTGTAGAAAATAAATTTTGTATTGGCTTCTTACCTACAGAGAGTCTTGAATTGTATTTACATACACTGCGAATAAAATTCCACGCATCCCATGTCTCAAACAGATCAATGTGCTTGCTTGCTTTCGGGTTTGGGGTTGTCGCATCCAAAGTCCTTGCAAATGGCTGCAAGTCGCCTGTCATTTCTTTTACTTCTTCGTGTCCGTACATTGGGATCTGAATCGCCATTTGAAGGTAGCTACCAATGGCGAGGGCTTCTTGAATGGCGCGAGCATACTGTATGAGCCCGTTGTTCTCGTTTGTCCCACTGCTGTAGTTTCTCGGCCCTGGTATAATAATGTGTCCCACTCCACAGAAAGCAGCATAGGCAATCTCTATATTAAGCACTTGACGCGAGATGTTGCTTATCAAAGGATCTGGTGAACAGAGATCTATCCACGGACTCGAGTATGCGATGATCTGAGAAAGCGAGTCACTAGGAGTTAGAGGGGTATCGACTGGGTCGAGAGGGGGGATAATCGGCGCTGGTGGGATGCTACCAGATTTCGACTCGTTCTGCGATAGTTCGGAGAGGTACGTGGAGATCAAAGTCAAAACTCTAGAGTGGAAGTAAGGGCTTGTGATGGGACTGGTAACCATATCATACTGCTTTCTGTCAGTGAAAGTTTCCTCTTTACTTGGTGGGGCAGATATACTCCAACGTCATGCGCCTGTCGCAGAACAAAGTCTGTGACAGGCAGTGGTCGCTTCGATTCATGATGTCCGATATAGAATGTTGGCGTATAATCCTCCACTGGGGATTCTGGTTCAAGATTCTGCGAAGTCATGGTGATGGTGATACAGAACAAAGTGGGTGACCGCAAAAAGCCCTGTCGAGAGGACTCGAATTTGGCAGAATAATGGTGATATCGATTTTAGGATCTTACGATCTATAGAACGAGCCGGATTCAGTTATTCGGATCCTCTCGTTGGCCATGATGTAGAAAGTTCTGCGCGACAGAGACTGAAGAATAATTGAGAATATCCCGCTGGGTAGGCGCACAGCTCCCAGATAATTTAAAAGTGGGGCAAGTCTACGGAGCAACATAGGCGAGGCTTTGCTTGCAACAACATTAAAATCTTCACATTCCCATAATTAACTAGAAAAGAAAAGGGTTCTCAGTATTTAGTGTACTAATATGGTGGGTCTAATGCAAGGTTTAGGGACTCGGCCTAAGCCTAAGACGTAGCTCAGTCTAGCTTTCTGGTTCAGGCTTCGGTACCCTCGCTCATGCAGACGGATGAAGGCAGTCAACACTGACAGCGTTGACCTGTTCTAGCTTATTGGAGTCCAGAGAGCTTCATGCATACCATTTCCGAGGTGGAAATGGGTTTATTCAAAGATTCATGTATTATGTTGGGTTGAAATCGAGTACCTAAGCTACCCAGGTACCCTGCGTCGACTCAACTCAACTCATTCAGCTTACTCGTTGACAGAGCCCAGGGTCAATAGTGGGATATATAACTATCAGTTTTCGACATTTCAGATTGATTCTCTGGTCAACAGCTAATCATTCGTCATTTCAAATCCATATCACCACCTCCAGTTTCACAAGATGGCAGAGACAGCGCCAAAGAAACAAGCATGCCCCGGCTCTTGTCACTGCGGATTTACGCAGTACAGTATGTAGATTCAATACTTCTTTTGCCTTTCAACTCCGAACCTCAGTAGTCGGAGAGTGCTCGTTTCTTACATGGCTTTTAGCTTGGAACCAACAAAAGAAATGTAGACTAATTTCTTCCAGTCATCCTCCTCACACTTCCACAGCCGTTCTCGTCGTCTAATCCACCACAACCGACCCAACAACAAATCTACCGCTGTAACTGCACCACGTGTTACAAATTGAACCTCTTCCACGTTCATCCTGCCAATCTCCGCGAGGATTTCATGCTCCTCTCACCACTTGATCCAGATCAAGACTTGAGTACCTACCAGTGTTACGACAAGAAACGGAAATTCTATTTCTGTCCAAAATGTGGAGTGCGATGCCTCACGTTTGGTGGCGTGGGCGAGACTGAAGTCGTGGATTTGACAGAGCTTGCTGGTACTAAAGATGGGAAAAGAGAAGTTTGGCGCGCGAAGTGGGGTGGGGAGAGTGATACGACAACCTATGTTTCAGTCAACGGGACTACGATTGATTACAGAGAGGACTTTGATCTACGCGCTCTCACTGAAGAGAAGAGAGTGCAGTATTTCGACGATCGAACTGAGCCTGAGGAGAAGAAGAAGGAAGTGAGATGGGACAGACCACATTATGGTGGAAGTTATTAACTACTTGGAGGGGTGTTATACAGCTGCTTCGCGCGTGCCACGAATAAGTGAGCTAGTTCTGTACGTTGCTGATTTGTTTCTCATCATTTCTATATACAGTTGCTCAAGCTGAAACACAGTCTCTTGTTCTAATCTTACTTTGAGCAAAGACATATGTCTAGAGTGCAAGTTGCTTATTTATTTACTTTGGTTTTCCTATGTTCTCATACCGGCAATGTTTCTTGTTTGCGCCCGTCATAACTGCCATCGCTCTCAGTAAACCCTCCTCTTCCCGCGCTATTCGAAACGCCTTGTTCTATCGTCCCCGTTTTTGTTAAATGTCTCGTAAGACCATCTTCTCCTTCCTCATGTACATTCGCGCCCTTCGCTATTCTGTTTTGTGTTATTAAAGTGTTCTACAAGCAGCTCTTTTGAGATAGATAGGAGTACTTACATTGCAAAACTGTCCCTCATAATAAGTTCATAAACGGCGGTTGCAAATATTGTCGCCGGAACGTTTACTAAGATTGCTATAGCAGCGTAGTCGTTGAAAGCATCGCCTCCATAAAATATCGCGGCGACAATTCTTGTTCCAAGATCCCTCGCTAAATTTGTAGAGATAGTCAAGTTGGCGAAACCCCAGATCATAGTGGCATAACCCAGTCCGATGATGAAGGGTGCACTGGAAGGGGCGACGAACGGGTTTGCCGGATCCAGTACGGCCCAGATGATGATTCTGGAACGGAGTGTTAGAATCAAACCCATTTACAATATATTGCAACGGTTTACATACCCTATAAAACTGTCCACGAAGAACTCAATGAAGAAGAGTTGTCCATAGTTGGTTTGGGTTGGACTGGGAAAACTACACAAAATACTCCCAGGGCCACCTAGAGAATTTGGACTTGCGCCTCTTGCCCTTGTTGCTGCCGCCAAGGCACTCATTTCAGGGTGATATTGGCCAACGAGCATTAAGCCGGCAAGAAAGGATCCTAAAATCTGCGCGAATATGTACCTCGGAACTTTCGACCACGGAAAACTATTGCAGTCCGATAAGTAGATGGAGTAGACTGTCGGATCGC